TTATGGCTAAGGGGCGTGAGCCGCCGCCTGATCTGAAGGGCACAGCTGGAACCATCCATCTATCCATTCATCCATCCATGCTCCTCTCTCAGCAGCTGCAGCAGCGGCCTTACAGCGTCCAGCAAAAAAACTATGGACAAAAACACACCCTCTCCTGGTGCACAGAGGAGGGTAAGTCAGTGCAGTGCAGCCTCCTTGCCGGTGTCGTCGTGGAAGCAAAAAAGAAAAAAAAACACATGTGACCTGAGGACAGACAAGATGGCGCTTTCGCTACATAGGCTACCAAGCACGGTGATGAGAAGAAGCCTGCACGGCGACATGAACAGTGCTACTTCATTAATTTCTAAGGACTTTAAAACTTTCTCAATTACGGCTGCGAGAACTGGCTATACGCTAACAACAAAAAGTCTACGGATGAACGAGTTATCTACTGACTCATGTTACAATACATGTTTAACAATTTTCGATCACTTTAAACAGCGACGATGAACTAGATACTGCTGGTGACCCATATGCAAGCTATATTGCAGGTTTTTATTATTATTATTATTATTATTATTATTATTATTATTATTATTATTATTATTATTATTATTATTATTATTATTATTATTATTATTATTATTATTATTATTATTATTATTATTATTATTATTATTATTATTATTATTATTATTATTATTATTATTATATCATTTATTGCGTTTGCGTAAGAGGGAGTGGAAGAGAAGTGCAGAGCTCATGGGTAGAGTCATACTCTCCTCTCCTCTTCTTCTCCTGCGGAAAACTAACCGAACGTGTCGTGAGTGAGTGGTAATTCCCTCTCCCCTCTGTTCTCCTTCTGCATCGGCTGGGCGCACGACAGGGCCAGGCACGCTCTCTTTGGCTTCCGCTGACGGGTGATAGCTTTCTGTGGTAGCGCGTTAATTGTTTAGCTATCCTGGGTCAGCCGGCCGTGGCATCAGGAGACATATTCACTACGCTCCGCCGTAATGAGAAAACAATGACGTCAACTTCCTCCGAAGATGCATAAATGGTTTCGTGTTCAAGCCGCACGAATGAAGCACCTCAAACGCCGAAGTCAAGGAGTCAAGGAGCTACAGTGCACCTATGGCCGAGAAGTAGGAGTTCACTGTGTGGACGATGACGGCTGTACCATCACACAATGCTATACCTTGCTGTCCTGGCAATGAGAGCTAGATTGTTTTTAAGAGCAATACTCATGAAGTGTTGGTTCTCATGTTGCTTTCATTACAGCTTGTCTGATTATTCACGCTGATTGTTGCGTCGAGACCAGCAAAGTCAACAGCCTATTTAGCAATAGTAAGACCTACATTAGAATATCCAAGTATCATATGGGACCCTTATCAGAAAAGACTAATCAATAAAATTGAGCGAGTTGCTTAGCGACAGGTCGTGGGATCGAATCCCGGCTGCGGCGGCTGCATTTTCGATGGAGGGTAAATGTTGTAGGCCCATGTGCTCAGATTTTGGTGCACGTCAAAGAACGCCAAGTGGTGAAAATTTCCGGAGCCCTCCGCTACGGCGTCTCTCACAATCATATGGTGGTTTTGGGACGTTAAACGCCACAATATATCAGTTAATTTGATAATTTTATTTGTACCAATTAAGTGGAAAGGGGTAGCCGTCGCCAACTAACGGTGACAAAAACTCCTTCGTTTATTTTCTATTTCAATAAAAAAAAGAGCGGCTAGAATTATTCTTTCAAGATACTCTCGAACTAATTCTGTGATATATATGCTGCAACAACTAAACTTCCCACCCTTTTGGAACACCGTCGTATAGCCAGGCTGAAATTCTTGTTTTAGCTTTCTCGAAATACATTTAACTTTGATGTATCGCTGTGCCTCGTTCCGTGACCTGTCCAGAACCTACGAAGTGACTACCGCAGCAACTTTCAAATCCCCTAATCTCGCGTAAACACATATGCATACTCTTGTTCTCCTAGAACCATAAACGACTGTACGGAATTGTGAAAATTTTAAAAATTTGAATTCAAAACTACACAATATTTTCTAAGTGAATGCTAGCCCTTTTTCCTAAATTTGATCGAATGTACTGAATCACACAAATTTCATGTGACATGTAGAATTTAGTATTGTGATGCTTAATGTTCTCCAGTGAATGATGTATGATAATGTAGGTGATTGAACAAAATAATGTGATGTACAACTTTTGTATTTTTTTCACCTATACGTTGCTTCTTTATAATTGGCATGATAGTTATTATGTCAGATTTTGTTCACTGTTTATATGTAATGACACATCGGTGTTTTAGATTTATTTAAAAATTTGCCTTGCTATTTCATGTAAACAGTGATTTGATTTATTGTAAGAGGTGAACAACGTGAAACACTGCACGTCTTCTGCCTTTCTATCATTTTGTCTTCGAGTTTTGCGCTGTTTCTCTCTTACAATGAGTCGTTACCAAGTAGCCCAGTTTTCAATACAACTCAGATTAGATTTATGCCCCACCCTTGCAACGGTCCAATGGGCCAACAGTACCTGGAAATAAGTAACGAAAATAAATATTAATTTTTTAAAAATATTTTACTGTGAAATGATGTGTTGAAATGTTGGTGTTGACAATGAATATGCTTGCGAATATTGAGTACTTTTTTTACGGCTTGCTTGATGCGATGGTGTTTTTTTTTACAAAGCAATGTTATTTTCGAAGAAACGCAATGCACTGCAGTTCGTATAAATATTAAACTTTACGTATTGATTTCTCAAATTTTAATGGGAAGGTAGTGCATTACTTAAAAACGCCTGTTTAGCTGATTTTTAATGCGTTTTCAGCTACTGCTGTCTGAATAAACACGATTTATTTGTAAAGTGGGCATGCAATTTTTTTCCCGCAAGAACTGCCTACAGATGAACGTATTTGCAATAGTCGTGCCCGCAGCCCCCTTTGACCCTAAAAACATCTAATGAAAGCCCTCTGCGGATAACAGTAGAAGAAACACCCGATCTTCGCACAAGAATGCTGAAACTAACACTAAAACCAGTGTGGCGCAATGGCAAGGCCGGAAAAAGAACCTTGTAACCGTTTAAGGCCGGCCGCTAGGAGCGCTAGCAGTCATGTGGGCGCATTGTTCAATGAGAGTGTCTGCGCTTTACGTTTGCTATGCTGCTCCAAGCATAGACTTTCCTAATATACACTAGAGGGAACTCTACCGCTAGTGTCTATGGGAGCTGCAACGCACGGCGCTTCAGCGAACATGGGAATGATGGGTAGTACACACATTTGTCTAATCTTTGTACTTCTGGCCTGCTTGTGGCTCCGTGTGTGTTCGTGTGACGTGGAGCTGTTTTCTCGCGAAACAAAAATTAGCAAATGTTTAGGGGTTGCGCTTCACCACCTTATTTGTTTAAACTTACCTCTCCAGATCAGGTCATGAAAATTAAAAGGGTTGAATCTTTCTTTCAAAACAAAGCCGAAACACAGCAATAAACGAAGCCGCAAGTACGATTCGCCGCCCGCAAGTACGAAGACTAGGTAAATGTGTGTACTACCTATCATTCCCATGGTCGCTGTTAAAGTCCCTGAAAAATAAACTAAAGTAGCGCCATTCGTGTCAATGTGCAGACTCCTCTCCCCTCGCGTGCACTGCAGATAGTAAACGACGCTAGTTGAGGGGCTGTATGGCTCCTGGCCGCAAAGATGAGCGTGTGCTCATGTTTCCGTTAAAGCGCATCTGGGCGCTGCGGTTCTAGGCGATGCACCGAAAGAGTGATTGAGAAAGAAACAAAATATAAAAAGTAACGTTAAATACGAGGATATGACGTGTATATAAGCAAGTGGCATGCTGTGGCAAAAGACATCACCGCAAGCACGCAATACTCAACGCGATAGCCCACCGTTTGCATGCAGACGCGCTCAGCGGTGACGCTCTCGATGGCAGTGCCACTGCTGTCCGTGTAATTAACTCGGCGGTGCTAAGAATCTGCAGCATGACGAACTAGCCTTTGGGAAGGTATTGCAAACGCCATTTTGTTTGTCCACTTTCGCGGTGTTTGTTTGTGGCTAGGCGTGCGCGCTTGGTATTGTTGTGTAGCCGGAGTTCGACCGCGTGTGAGTGGGTGCACGGTGATCCTGCACGTTTCGGGATGCCGACCTGCTGTGCCAGCGGTTGCAAAAGCAGGTACAGCAGAGGAAAGAAGCTACTTTCGCTTCCGCGAGGAAAAGACAATGCCGCTCGGCAAGAAGTGTGGCTCCAGCGTATCGGAAGGACTGACTTGGACCCTGTATTGTAGCGGCTTTGTGAGGTGAGTACCGGCGAGCTAAACTCTATCGTTTCGCTTGTATTCGTGTTTACAGTGTTGCGGTACTGTCAAGCTCGAGCATCACACAAAGAGAGTAACCACGTCGATGGTAAACGTGCATGCCAGTTGAAACGCGTGCCGCGTTTAGTGCCGTGTAAACGTTGCGTCTCTGGCTTGATCCATGCCGACCGCGGCGGCTGCATTTTCGATTGAGGCGCGTGCTTTCGCATTCGTAGTTTCCTCGTGGACACTCTAGAGGCGCTGCTGTGGCTGCTGGGAGAGGAGGTAGGGGCGAAAGGGTGCGGTTGGCGCTACTTTAGTTTATTTTTCAGGGACTTTAGGTCACTGTACGATCGCAGCGCCAGAGTCCTCTCTAGTTAATTTTAGGAAACTCTACGGCTTCATGTGTAAACCACTTAATGTACATTGTAGAGCATTTGGCTTTGACCTCGCGGATACAGCCTGGTGTTCGAGGCATTGCCATTTGTGCGAGGGAATGACTGCCGTTTGTGCAATTCTAGTTTTGATTGGCTGCTTTGGGTTCAATTCCAGTTCTTTATTTTAGGCAGTGTAATGCGATAACGAGAATCACGATAAGCCAATTAGCGTAACAAAGATGCAAAAATGGCCTTTCTGTGGGATTCACATTGCCGGGAACTTCAGAAGATGTTCCTCGAGCTGGCGGCCCAGCCCCGGGCACAAGACGCAGTAAACGTTTCACAAATAAAGTTTATTCATCTCCACTCAAACTAAAATAGACGTAACATGGACAGAATGAAAGGGCAGTTTTTTTTTTATTTCAGTTAGATCTCTTTTTTCGAAAGGAAAGGCTAGCGTTGCAAAGATAAGAACCAGTGACGATGACAAGATGATAACAGGTTCGATACTGTGGCGATGGCCAATCAATTTCTTCTAAACGGACTCTTGGAGTCTGCTGGGCATTCGTGCTTATCTATGCATCTCCCTTTGTGCATGACTTGGCCTCCGGGACAGAAACAGCCCGGCATGCACGGTCCATGCGGATCTTGTTGTGTGGCGAACATCGCGGCGTGACGACCGGGCCGCAAGTGTTGAACTCCATACCCGGTGGACAGCCCGATTCTGCGACGAGAGCTTGAATACGTAAATGTAAGCACAAGCATTCCCACACTGTTTCTTTTTTTTTTCAACGTATGACGTGGTGAAACGCTCATACGTGCACACCTACCACCGGTACCTTTGGTCGAGATATGAATGACAGTTAATAACATAAATTAGTTTGAATGAAATTATGTAGACAACAGCGTGTTAAAAGTGTTCGTTGTCAGGATTTCATAAGTTTTTTTTTTGTTTTTGCAACAGTACTAGTGCCAAAATGGCAGCATTGTTTTGCAGGGCTGGTTCTATAACTACGCCTTCTTGTTGGGTTTCCTGTTTTTGTGAGGAAACAGGCAAATAAAACTCACCGCAATCTTCTCCTGGAAGGTGGCTCAATGAGACGTTGTGCTTCTCGCAGGCAAGTTTTACGGCAGCTTGAACGTCGCAAAAGCAGTAGGCGCTCCCGAAGCAAGAGCACATGTGCTGGAAGCACATTTTCAGGAACGGCCGTGGATTCTGAACAGCCTTGAAACAGGCCGCTATACCCCTGTCTTTCCTTTTTTTTTTTTTTTTTTTTTGAGGAAAGGGGGGGGGGGGGCAAGGTAAATAAAGAGAAGCATAAGTACGGAGGTGTTACTGTCACTAGCGTGAGAAATATTGGGAATGAGCAGAGTAACAGACACTTAGGATGACGTTATTGCTGGTTATACGAAAGAAATTGCGAAGTTTGAGCTTATGTTGGTCCCCATCAGAATTGCTGAGATGTTTAAGGTTAGAAAAACTCCAGTATCTCCACAAAGAAATAAACGGTGGGCTTTCTTGCTAAAAAGTTCCGTAGTTTTGAGTCTTCAATTGAAAACGCTTTAGGGCTGTACGTGAAACACATTTGTTTACTCAAATCAGGAGAAAATTAGATAGTTAAGTATATATCTTTAACAGAAAACAACAATTACCGTATTCCCTCATATAATAGGCGCATATCATTTTTTTTATTTCCGCGCATAATAGGTACCCCTCCCCTCCCGCCCTCCGCCGAATGGGCCGCGATAAGTAATTCTGTACCGTATTTGCACAGCCCTTTTACGTCAACTGAGCGGAGGAAAAAGAAAAAATGGCAGCATATCCACGGAGTGAATGATGTAGAGTGGGGCGAAGCATTCGTCCGTCCATGCGTCCGTCTGTGTGACCGTCCATGCGTCTGTTTGTGCGCCCGTCCCTGCGTTCGTTCATGCATCCGCCCTGCGTCCGTTCATGCGTCCATCCATGCATCTGTCTGTGTGTCCGTTCGTCCATCTATTCAACACTCCGAGTCCCACTATCTCCTATATTTTTATCATATATTCCCCATATAGAAGCATCGCCATCCAGCGGACATTCCAAGGACTAAACGAGAGGTGGCACACGCACACTTTCTTACGGCCTGCGCTTTGGGTCCACTTCCCACCTTTAACCACCTCGAGTTGGTATATTCTAGTTCACTGTATTCATGGCACTGCGACCAAACGCTCGCTAAACCTTTCGAAAACCAAGGAGGTTACGCCCAGCGAGTATAACGTAGCAACCTTTCCCTGTCAGATAGGGCTCAATTTACATGCCAGTGGCTGCTAGTGAGAAATGAGAGACAGGAGAATTCGGCTTTTACTTTCTTACGGCTTGCACTTCGTATCTACTTCTCATTTTTAACCACCTTGAGTTCATTCATGGTATATACAAGTTCATTGTATTCATGGCACTGCGGCTCAACGCTCGCTAAACCTTTCTAAAGCTAAGGAGGTTACACCCAGCGAGTATAATGTAGCAATCCCTTTCTCGTCCGATAGTGCTCAATGTACATGCTAATGGCTGCTAATGGGGATCGCAGCGTGCGCGTTGACTAAAAGCCGAATGCTCCTGTCTCTCATTCCCCATTAGCAGCCATTGGCATGTACATTGAGCACTATTTTTTATTGTTAAACAACGCACAGAAGAAATCTCTCACCGGGCACCACCTTGGAGGTCAAGTGTTATACCTATTTCGGGTATGTGCCACTGGTGGTTACGTACTACGAGGGACGCCCAAGCCACGCCATAAGGAGCTTCGCCCCTAATAAAGTATGGACCATCTCCCCGAAGGGAACCATAATGAGATATGCGAAGCAGCAGCTGGTGCGCGTGCTGTTGACTCGGCTGAAACGGAACGTCTACGCGGGTGCTGGAAGAACGGTATGAAGCGAAAGTCGGTGTCGCCTTTACTCCAGTAAACGTTTCATTTGAAACGCGAAAGACACGAGAGGTAGTTTGGGTTTTGTGTAAGTTTCGTGACATATAAACGAGCCGAAAGAGTCTTTCCATTCAATGTGCGCTCGAACGTTGCGAGCTGGTGGAGAGGATGAAGAGAGTGATGACACGTGGCGAGCTGCGACAGACTAGAGAGAGAGTGACGTCAGCGCGCATGCACTGCGAGGGAAGGCGTGACCTACTTGGCATCGCCCCAACACTTGCAGCCAGGAGAGAGTAGTGTGGACTGAGGGACATCGTTACACCGGCTAGTCAAAGAGATGCTTCGTATCTAAAAGACCACCGGCCCCGCTACCCCAGCTCCACGGCCTCGCCGAGTGAGGAAGAAGGGCGGTTGCTTGGGTATCGTACTAACCTTTGCACCGGCACTGACGTGGCCCCGGCCACTAGCCCGGCCGCGCGTGCTACGCATGGAACGTGCGATCGCCGATCACATCCTCTTCAAGTACGCATTGAGTTGCCTGTCCGGAAAGCGTCGTTGTTAGCGCGTTCTCGACCTAATCCGCAAATTCAAAAGCTTTTCCGCTGTCCTACGACGAGCTTTCGTCTTTGCTGTCACTACGTGGACTTTCAAATGGTCCGCGGACTTTTTTTTGTCGGCGTTGATATCCTGGCCGCGAACCTAAACGTTGTATCACGCGCGCTGCTCTTGGATCAACTGCTTGAGTCCGACCTTTTCGACGCCTAATCTTCATGTTGTCATGTACAAACTTCCCATGACAACATACCGAATCGTAGGCTAGCTAGGCCTAATCAAGGTAGGTCCTTTTCGGTGGTGGTCACGAGCGATCAAAGTTGCGGTTTTGTGCATAAAGAACGTAACTCTTTTCGATGTCTCTGCTAGTAGGAAAGGGGGCTTGGATGGCGCTTGTAGCACTCTAATGGGGGTTCGCTATACGATATTATTGTCTTAGATATGGGGTATGATCGGTACCGTACAGCACGCAAGGAAGAAAAAAATAGGAGGTAAAGAATGGCAGTGCGGTTAACCAGTCTATAGGCAGCCGCTTTGCTACCCTGCGCATGGGAGGGGGAAGGGGAGATGAAAGATAGAGAGGAGTGAGGAAAGAGAGATAAACACAGCACATTAGGCAGCACACGCGCGCACACTCAGTCATAGTCCAGTCTTGTCTTTAGTGGTGTGTGACATTGCTGTTACAGCCTCTTGTTCAAATCCGTGTCACATAGGAATTTGAACAGTGCTTATGTCGCCTTCTGTTGCAATGTCTTCTCTCGGGCACTTGAAACAATAATATTCTCAGACATTTGGCAGTTGTCGATGCGCGCAAGAACGGACGCCAGTGACCATTCCTGGACGTCATACAACAGACAGTCGCACAGGATGTGGTGTAGCCTCTCTTCACAACGACGGGCACCGCAGAGAGCGTTGTCGGCCATTCCTATGACACAGGAACAAGATTTTGTAAATGCCACTCCTAGCCAATAGCGATAAAGAAGGGTGGCTTCTCTTGGGTCGAGCCTAGTGGGCATGCGGAGAGCCATCAAAGAGGACAGGTGGTGTTAGCGATTCGTCTCTTTGCTTGGTGGGTTCCATGGTGAAAACGTTATTTCACGCACAAGTCGTCGAAGATTACTGGCTGCATCGGTCCGCGAAAGTGGTATGGCCTCTTCACGTGTACGTTCAAAAGCTGCCTGTGCGGCAGTATCGGCATGTTCATTGCCTATGACGCCGCAGTGCCTTGGCAGCCACTGAAACGTCACATGGTGCCCTTTCTCGTGTGAAGTGTGGAGAAGGCATCGAATTTCGAAAACAAGGTGTTCGTACGGCCCGCGACGCAGTGCTGAGAGCACAGATTTTAGGGCAGCCCTTGAGTTGCTGAAAACAGATCATTGTTGTGGTGGTTCCCGATTGACCACACAAAGTGCAGCGCGCAAAGCAGCTAGTTCTGCTGCTGTAGATGCCATGGAATGGTCAGTCCTAAAGCTGATGGTAACACCTCCTTCTGGGACAACTACTGCACCTGACGAACACTGGTGGTTCGTGGAGCCATCGGTATATATATGTACACTTTCTGAATATTTCTCGTGAAAAAGAAGAAGAGGCAGCTGTTTCAGCACGGGCAATGAAAGCTCAGATTTTCTCCGGATCCCTGCTACACTAATATGCGCTGTGGGTCGAGTAAGACACCAAGGGGTTATCGTTATCCATCGTTTAGATTCAGGTGTGAAGCCCGAGGGAAGTTTCTCGTTGTACTTCACAATCATTTTAGCGAGCGATGCTTGGCGCATCTATGAAGACAACAGTGCAAGGTGATGACAGGGAGCACGTGCAAAGTGTTTGACGTGCGTACTCAGGACTTCTACAGAAGTGTGCGTTTGTATCGGATAGCCACCAGCAATGGCAATCGTTTCCTCGGTTGACGTACATCTGGACCGACCAAGGCACACTCTCAGTGCTTGGACTTGTACTGCCTGTAGAACACGAACATTGGTCTTGCAGGTATTGCTCAGCACGGGCAAGCTATATCTCAGGAAACCGAGAAACAGGGCTCTGTAGAGTTTGATGATTCCATCTACTGACATCCTCCACATCTTTCCTGCCAGGAACTTGAACAATTGGGAAATAGCAGTCAGGCACTTCTTCATATAGGCCACATGCGGACCCAAATAGAGGTCCCTACCAATAATGATGCCCAAAAACCGGTGGGTTCTGGCATAAGAAATGGGTCGCCCGCAGATTGAGATGACATAAGGGGTCATTGCTTTGCGAGTTAAGGCCAGCAGCGTGCATTTTTATAGTGATATGCTGAGACCTTGTTTTAACGAGTAGTTGGCAATCATAGTTGCTGCTCTTTGAAGACAGACGTGTGACTGCCGAAGTCCAGACACACACGTCGTCTGCATATAATGAGATTTTAATAGTACTTGATAAGTATTCAGCAAGGCCAATTAGTGGAAGATTGAATAGCGTCGGGCTAAGAACTCCGCCTTTAGGAACACCCCTGGAAGTATAGCGTCACGTAGTTGGTTCATCTTCTGTTAACACAAAGAATGACCCTGCAGCCAGGTAACTCGAAATCCACCGAAAGACTCGACCACCAAGGCCAACCACCGCAATAGCACCCAAAATTACTTCATGTAGTACATTATCATACGCGCCTTTCGCATCTAGAAACAAAGCTGTAGATAGACGCATATGGGATCTTTCGTGCTGAACGTACGAAACTAGATCAACGACATTGTCAATAGAAGAGCGGTCGCGTCGGAAACCAGCCATGGAATTCAGATAAATCTTGTAGTATTCAAGATACCACTCCAAGCGGCCTAGTATCATCCTTTCCGTTATCTTTCCTACGCAGCTGGCCAGTGCTATTGGGTGGTAGGGGGCGAGTTCTATTGGGATTTGCCCTTCTTCAAGTTGGGTACCAAGCGGCTTTTTTCCAGTCATCAGGAGCATTGTCATCCTGCCACGGGATGTTGTAAAGGCTCAACAGTTCTCTCCCTGCACCTTCCCCAAGGTTGCACAAGGCTCGGTACGGAATACTATCTGGACCCGGAGAAGTGGAGTGCCTGCAGAGAGCTAGTGTCGCCTCGAGCTCCTCCATTGTAAAAGGGAGGTCTGTGTGGCAGTCACGGGAACGGTGGACGTCCCCTCTCACTGATATCTGGACGAGTGGCTTGGTTGGCGATCTGCGCACAGAAATCTTCTGTGACATCGATGTCTTGCCGCCCTTGAAAGAGCACGAGTGCTTTGAATGGAAAACGCTGTTCCGTATGGTGATGCAGACCTTGCACCATTTTCGAAATGTGTGAGAGTGGCCTGCGAGGGTCTAGTAACTCGCAAAACGTCCATCGTTCCGACGCTAATCTATCCATGCGACGCCGAATCTTCTTTTGCATCCTCCTGGCTGCCCTGTGATCGTGAATTGATTTTGTGCGCCGATACCGACGCTCCGGTCGGTGTCGAAATGCTCGGAGTCGCTCCAACTCTATGTCAAAGTCGTTTCGTGCGGAAGATATCGTCACCGAGCGAGTGGCGTTTTGCATTGTGCTCTTAATTGCTTTCTCGTTGGTAACGTGGATCTTTTGATGTTATTTTTGAAAATTTCAATGCACACCACGTAACGCCTCAATTCTCGGACACGCGAGATTGCATACTTAACAGGATTTGCGCCAGTGTGGCCTATGAAAAAGGTTGTTTCGGCTCTGGTGCGGCTGTTCGTGACTTCAGTGACGTACGTTTTCAGTGGTCTATGCTGTAATCAGAAATAAAGTTTTCGTAAATTATGCCCCGCGTAATAAACACACCCCGAACTTGGAGCCGGAATTTCTGGAAGAAAGTGTGCCTATCATGCTAGTAAATACGGTATATTGCGTATTCATTTTCCGCCAGTATAGTCTAAAGAATGGACAGTTAATGTCTTACCTCATGTTTCTGCACATCTCGGTAACTTTGACAGTGACATATCGTGGTTTATCTGGGCACTTTAAGTGGCCATGCTGTCGTTCGTCAGGAGTAGACAGACTCCAACTTGCAAGAAACTCCTAAAAAACAAGACAAAAAAGTTCAAATTTTGGTGACCCGTCTAAAAAAATCAAATCGGCATCGTGTTATTCTCTGCAACATTTGAAGGTCAAATCTTGCTGCACACTTAATAATGATGAAAGTGGTCGTGAAACACTTGTTAAGCGTCGTCAGAAAAGGCTGCCAGTTGGTATAAGAGGCTGCTGAGAACGTTTCACCCAAACATTATTACACCGCACACAGTCTATAATTTACGGTTATTTTAGAATTCAGCTGGTAATCGCCAGCTGTTTTCTCAACAAACAATGGCATAATCTAAAATGACTACGTCGTAAACACCAAGTCCATGGCCATTGGCTGATCTGAGAAGCGTGAGCTGCATAATTACGGCGGCCTCCTCTGGATGCCGCCATGTGTCCGTTTTGCACTCTATAGCGCTAGAATTACGCGGCGCATAGCATTACACCGGGGTGCTTACGATCATAGTAAATGTAAGCAGCGTTTTCAAAGAATTAAAAGCGCTCAATGTCATCACGTGCGCTGACGAACAACGAACGTATTACTTGCCCTTTCGTCAACAACCTCCCTCCCCGCTTTGCTTTCAGTGCGCTGACCGGCACTAAATCATAGAGGAAGTGCTTGTAGCACTTCCTCTATGATTTAGTGCCGGTCAGCGCACTGTAACTCTCTCCCTGTAACTCTCTCGTACAGGGTATATCTTAAAACTATCTGCAGCTGTCAACTTGTCAGCCAATCACCTTTTCATTCGCTGATTACTTGGAAAAGTGTTGAGGGGCCTATTAGGGTTCTACATTCAGTGGCCATACTTTCTCCAACACGTAATGAATCCCAGCATGACAGAAAAACATTAGATTACTTCAACGTTCTAAATCAATTGCAATGTTCAACACACCTCCACTGAAGATTTTGACCCCGAATGGTCTTACAGTGCCTTCGGCCTCAGCCCTCGTTTGACCAATCTACGACGGTTGAATGACGACGTCATCATTGTGTCGACATGCAGTCGGGTACTCGCATGACGTCAGGATGATGTCGAAAATTTTGCTGATTTCTGAGGTCGTGACGTGATGCTATAATAAGAAGTTAATTCACTTGGGTTTTCGGTTAGACTTGCGCCGGAGTTGGCGAGCCTGGCAAAGTCTCGCGGATGGAAGCACCAACATAGCCTCTTAAGGCCTTAAAATGCCAGACTATATAAATCTTCATGATAAAACGGTAATGCACCGACTATGCCCTGCCGCGTCTGTCATAGGGGCCCTACCGTATGAACCTTACTTACAGTCATATAATCCGTACAAATTTACATCCATCACGTACGTCTATGAACGCGTTTGTGCGAAATACATAATGTTTTATAATAATACGTTTTTTTTACTCTCGTTCCCTTTAAGGGCCTTTTTTTATTTATAGATAAATCTACAATACTCGCTCTCTTTTGTTTGGACCTAGTATGGTTCGTATGGCAAGCAAGAGCAACACTTGCCGATGTATCCTTGGCCCTGAGGTGGTGCTTGGTGGTGAGGTCGTCTCGGACGTCGAAATTAGCATTGCCGCACAGGCCGCACACTTGACCGGTGTAGCCGTCCGGAAGTGACGTCACAATGGTACCGTCTTTCCGCACCGTAACAACCAAGCCATGATGGGTGCGCAGTTGCAAGGCTTCGCTTCCACTGCCAGCTTCGAGGGTCATGATGGTGTCCTCATGGTGCGGCAGCTGCACTTGGCGGTCGCCTACCATTGCCCGACCACTGGTGAACAAGGTGGCGGTGAGGCAGTGTATGTAGACGCGAACCGCTACCTGCACAATGTGATTCACAGCACACTGGTTTGTAACCACCGAACATAATTTCTTTTCAATGCGCGGCTGCGCAATGTACATGATCAGGATTTGGGTACATCTGCACGGTGAGTCATCTGTTACCAAGCGTACCGTAACTGAATAATAAAAATGCGAAAAAAAAACTATCTGATAAAAAAAGCTAATGACCATAACGGACTCTTGGTTCTACACAGCAGAGATCCACTGGAACATTTTGGTAAAACTGCCGCATTCCAGTACAAATCGCGTGGTTTCCCAGAATGTTTAATATTTTAGAACGCAGCGCCACATGTTTTTAATAAGCGGTGTACAACTGCCAAGAAAAACCACACTCTTCGTAGTGTGACACTGATATTTCACCAAAATATCGCAGTGAATCTCTGTTGTATTTAACCTGTAATCATTTTGGCAAGTGGGTATTTTCCTCAAATAAGTTTTTTTTTTTTTTTTGGGGGGGGGGGGGGGCGCCGCTTTGTCATACATTCATGGCAGGACACCGTTGCTGCCGCTGAAAGATAGAGCCGCGTGCAGATGTCCCCACATCCTGTGACTATCCCTGGACATCTCTTGTGTTCTCGTGCCTAAAAAATAGGTAGAGAAGGAGAAAGACAGAGAGAGGATGCAGGAAAGAACTAGACCAAGTCTAGCTTGCAACACTACACGAAGGTGAAAAAATGAAAGGGTGAGAGGGAGGAATAGAAAGAAACGCACGTGTGTGCAAAGTGCACAATGTACATTCACATTGCAGCATGTAAGAATTACCATCTACGAGCCACATATGAAGAGCCGCAGCTCTACCCCTTAAGCTGCATTTTACGTCCCTAGCACTTTACGGGGGCGGGCTGTCATGTGCCGTGGTATGCTCTCGTATGTGGTCATCACATGATGTCGACCTCGACGAGTGTTGGCATTGACGAACATTTTGGCGTTAGGTACGCTTGTGCACAGTTGCAGTGCATGGGAACGCTTGCGTACCTTCTTATGGTAATCATTTCATAACGATAAGACTAATGCAATTTAGGAGCTGAGTTTTACTCAACAGCAATAAAAAAACATTTTCATGGCTGAAATTGACAGAGAAGTCTCTCGTAGTAATATAGAAATGTAGGCTCACATTGCCGTAATATTGTAAGATAATACCTAAGTAAAAACACAAGTTAATTTTCTTGGAAGAGTTGTTAAGCGTGTCGTGTTTAATTGGGTCGTGCCAGTAATGAATGAATTTTCACAGCACTTGTTTATTTTGGCTACTATCATCGTTATGAATTTTTGTCTTTATTCGAGTGTTATTAAATAATTCAGATGTCACAACAAACCTGCGTCAGTTCAGTAAATGCTTCCGTCACCACAAGAGTTTCAGTACGGTCACTTCGCCGTAATAGTTTTTACAGGGGACCAAAAATGAATCAAATTTCACTAACCTCTTTCCTGTGGCGATGTAGGTAACCGTAGAATTTGCCATTGTAGCAGTCTTGAAACAGGACATAATCGTGTTGTTTATTCAGAGGGAAAGAGAGACCATCGAAAGAGACCAGAGTGTTGTTCAGTCGCAAGGTGCATTTCGGCGGTTCTAAAAGGTGATTTAAAGAAAATAATAATATTAACAGCACCAGTACAGTTCATAACATTTCTTTGTTCTTTTTTTTCATGCTGAAACAGCATTCAGAGCGGTACAACACAATGCACCACTTATCACACTGTATCTAAGTGAAAGAAAAGCTGCATTCCTGATATTTCTGATAACCATTTATAGTAAGGCTTAATCCAGCTAAAACACATAAGGGTTTTGTCGTTCAGTTGGTACATTTGCGGCGCAGGCGTTTCAGGTGCAGCTAACGCTGACATTGCGTTACATTCGCCTCGTTCAGGTTACGTCTACGCAGCGTAACCATTAGCCCTGAGAACAAACACTGGCGTCGCTGCAGTCGCAGTGATGTGACGTCACGGCACGGACTGGCCTGCTCCGCCTGCGCTTGTCGCCTTTTTCTGTGCCCGCCATGTACATGCTTTTTAGCGATACATTCGTGATCATTCCTCAAGTTTGTGACGCAAATTTTTCGACATACAAAGTGCTAGCTTTCACAACTAGTGAAACTTTGTAATGCTGTAAGAAATTTTCATAATTTAGCTTAGGATAGGCAGACTCCCGTCCGAACGGAAGATTTATTGGGAACATGGTGATGCTGGAGAAGACGTTCGTTGTTTTTATCGCGTACTTCACAGAATGGGTGATAATAAAATATGCTAAGTGGTACAAATGTTATTACAACTAGGCATAGACTCCGGGGTTAGGACATGGCTGTGCTGAAGTATGAGAAATGAAATTGGGACGTTTTCAATTCACTAAGTACATTTTGCTTTACCGTGCAAGTTACGCCTGCATCTGCGAATGATCTAAATGATTTGCACAGAACTGCGCTTTCTCCAGCAGGAAACGCTGCATGAATTTGGTCGTCGACCGTAAGCACTCACGTAACATATTCGTCACGTCAAACAAACAAATTATACTGCCGCACACACAACGATTTCGGAAATAATGAGATATTTCTGTTCACTGGGGTCATATGTACAAGTTTAATTTATTTTCAACAGTCGCCAGCGATTACATAGTCCTATACCCTAATTTGCGTAATATGCTGGAGTGTTCTACCACCGCGTCACAAACGCTAACGGGCACTTCCCGTGGGAGCACCGTTGATAGGAACGATTTTAACACAAATCTCAAAGAGTCGGAATGAACTATTTCTATGGCACACTCACGGACGAGGCCCAAGCAGTGTAGTAACCAGGAGATGGCTACCTGGGCCTGTCCTCTCCTCCCCCCCCCCACCCCCAATTTTTCCCTATGCAGAGAGAAAAATGACCATTTCAAATAGGTGCCCTCCCCCAACCCCGAGAAAAAATTCATATAGGCTTCTGAACTTATGTAATATTAAACTACCTTCACCTCGGTGAGGCGACAGCTGGTCTTGCACGTCATATCAACCAACAGGTAATCAACTGCAAGAAAATTTAACATATGAGGTGGCTATCTAAACTGGTTATTCGGAGCGCGACCGTACCATTGCTGCAATTCTGCACGAAGACAGAATCTGACCGATATAGGAATTTCTGCACCTACCCTACCGCACTTAACCTCAATAAGTTCGGTCAATTAAAGCTTCAAAATTATTGCGAGAGAAACATGATACTAAACAACGTGTTGTCTTTCTGTCATTGTTTTGTGCAAAAGGTGCACATTCATGTAGTTTACATGTAGTGTACATGTATTCCCTTTGTGGGAGCATGGGTGTGTAGCCTAGTGTAAAAAACAAAAAAAAGTGTGTTGTCTACTGGTAAATACACTCCCTTTCGGAGCATAAGGGTACGGGTTCAAATATCAGTATCGGAAAGCAAAAAGTTTGTTAGTTATGCCGTAGACATTATCGGGTCATACCAGCCCCTTGTGGCGCTAAAAGCAGCGCAGTAGCTCGGCCGCAGGGTCTTACGAGAGTGTCCGCTCTTTATGTAAGTATGTTTCCCTATGGCGCAATCGTGTTTCTCTGGTTCCGTAGAAACCAAGCATTTTTCGACATGTCTTACTTTGGCACGCTACATCCTTCAGGCTTTGAGTTTGTTTTCATAAGAGTAGCCCGTGGTTGGCAGGAGGGTTCTGAAAAGTTTGCGTCACTGTTTTGCATCTTTATGTCATCAGCGTTGCAGATAGCGTATGTGTTGCCTTTGACCAAACGGCGATGTCATAGTGACGTCATTACGAAGTCGGAAATTTGGCGTTCTGTGACGTTTGACGACGACATATGGCGACATCGTCACGTGGTGAGGATATTTTGCATCAGTAATGTTGACGCTGACGACGACGATGGTACATCAAAGCCAGTGGTCAATGTTTGAATTTAATAAAGCATTCAAGGCTTTCCCGTTAGAGCATATGTAATAGTAGCTACCTTTGATACACGACCCACAGCACTCAGACGGGTTCTTGGACATAATTTTTCCCTGCAAAAAGAATTATACAAGAGAGTGTCAGATTTTTTATGCGGTGACGTCACGTCGGCAAAAAAAAAACAATACTCACAGCAGAACAATTCAAAGCAGGGCAAATCAGAGGAGAGCACTGCACCGCTCCCTTGTTACACTTGCAGATCCTCACACCCTCGCTGCCAAGAGTCTCCGTCCTGCAAGCAGTGGCGCCGGCAAAGCAACACCCGATTGTTTCATTGGGTCAGCACTTCATTCAAAAACGTCGTCAAGACTGCAATAATCGTGAATTAGTTTCATTCAAAGTATTGTGTCATAGAAATCTGTTAGCGTGCTCCCGATTAAACCGATTATAAGACAGCTTTTCTATCTCAATATAACCCCTGCGTTTCTACGTACGAGTGTTACTTATGGTTTCCCATCTCTTTTATTTCAAGTACGAGAAAATATATAGCATTTTGTTTCATGAGTTGCTGCGTCAGCGATGAGAAGTATAAACCAATAACTACTTACGCATTTATCTTATCACAGAGAACCGCTTGATTCGTGTCAAAAATTTTGAAAAGTACGAATATTCAAGGTAGTTCGCATTCCGATGTGAAACCTAAGGGATTCGCTGTCATGATGCTGCTGCAGTAGAATGTTTTCTAGTTAGGGTAAAAGCGTTGTCTCATTTTTGACAAAACGGAATAAAAAAAATGTTTTAACAAATCTCTGGGTCAAGTGATTACATAAAAAACAAAAGCACGTCTAACTTACCTACTGGTAAAACAACTTTATTACATTTATTTTTATTTGTGCAGTAACGCCAGGGCTGTTTTTTTTTTTTTTTATCGCGAGGCACTCGCGCTATGCGCGGCATACTTCCGTGTTTCAGTTAAGGGTACCCACTAAGTTGTTCTGCCATGTATGATACATACTCGACCTACACGTGATTTGTTTTCTTTTTTTTTAGGGGCGAAGCTCCTTAGGGCGTGGGCTGTGCGTCCCCTGTAGCCTGTATGTAGCCACCTCTAGTTTAGTTCTTGCAGTGTTCACTAGATGGCGGTACCGTCCCCTGTATGTAGCCACCTCTAGTTTAGTTCTTGCAGTGTTCACTAGATGGCGGTACCGCCTCCTGTATGTAGCCACCTCTCGTTTAGTTCTTGTAGTGTTTACTAGATGGTGGTACTTGTAGCTGATGATGAAAAGATGCAAGATGTTATAAACTAGAAAGCGGTACTTGTAGTTGATGAAAGACGCGACATCTTATAAAATAGGAATGATGTCACATATGGCGCGTGTCATTGGTTGAAGGCAATCGTTCGATTTAGTGCGGCGACGTACGCTAGGGGGAGCGTTGTAATAAGATCCGTTCGCTGTTGGCGCGCGCTCGGAGTCGCCGGATGGATAAGGCTGCACAGCGGAGAGAGCGCAAGGCGGCAGCAGCGCGCGCTCGCAGACAGAATCCCGATGTGCGAGCGCGCGAGGCAAGGGACATCGCAAGCCATCCATCGTCTAAGAACAAATAAAAGTTGATTTTTGTATATACACACACAGCGTTTCTCACGTCTTTACATGATGATCGACTGGGCGAATTACACGGAAGATTCACAGTTTACCGATGAATCCCTCCGGAGCTTCGCCCATTCATCATCATTCACCCCGTGAATATGCCGTAATTTTTTTCTTTAAATACAGTAGCACGCCTTTACAAAAGAGACAGACGTACGAGGTGATAATGGCAAGCACAATTGACTGAGTAGCAAAGAGTACCAATTACTTGTCGACATTAATATTTGTGTAGTCAACATTACAAATATGTAATGTAAGGTAAAACAGGAACTTGCGCTGTTATAAAATGTTTAGTGTGACTCTTCATGTGCCTACTTGTTTCGGGTTGTCTTATTCATGAACTTGAATGACATTCGAATCATTGCACTCCTAATGGGTCTCTACAGCTGTTAGAAAAATTGTGCAGATCCCACGTACCTTGAAAATCTATGGTATGCGAAGTATGCGGAAGGAAGGTGACCGTGTTATAATTTCTTTGAACTTGCACAACAATGCCAACAGAAACAAGAGTATTATCAACACCAGATATGAGGCTAATATAAAGCGCTGGTGCTCGTGAGGATTGTGGCCCTGGACCTTGCTACACGAATCAACTTCAGCGAATCACACCTAACTACAATTGACGTTAACCTGACGTGACGGCTGCATCATAGGAGTACATATGTAATGTTTACAAAACTGGATAGCCAGTACTGCAACCACAATTGACGTTGCACAAACATTAAGGCCTATTTGAAAAGTAGTTCATAGACCTTTCGTGACTCTGCGGTAGAATACTTGGTTGCCACGCAGAATTCTTGGGTTTGATTCCTGCTGGGACCTTGACATTTATTATTTGCATTTTTGGGTCAACGCTGTCGATGTCAGGTTTGTATTAACGCTCACGCAATAAAAGTGGTCATATGTGTTCTCGTCGTTCCCAGGTACATACTGTCAATCACCTGCGCCACATACCCGCCCTCGGGTATGTGCCACTGTCTGTCGGGAAGTGTTTGATGACGTACGCGATGTACTGTCCATCGCATCATATTTTTCACACCATTTTACCCTTCCATGCTGATTTTGTTCCGGCCAAGTTAAGAGTGTAAACCCGATTGATTGATATGTGGGGTTTAACGTCCCAAAACCACCATCTGATTATGAGAGACGCCGTAGTGGAGGGCTCCGGAAATTTTGATCACCTGGGGTTCTTTAACGTGCACCCAAATCTGAGCACACAAGAGTGCAAACCCGAGGGCACCCATTACGTAAGTGGCTATATAGATAGATGGACACTAATAGTGCTTACAAAGTGCAAAGAAATGTTTCGCATTTAAAATGTTCTCTCCACTGCCGAGAGTCTGGCTCGTTATTGTCAGTAGAAATTTAAGTGAACATGCGATTTTTCGTGACATCTCCTGGCTAAGAGCGCTTGCTTGTTAAAATATGATAGCGGTGCGCAATACTCTAAATCATACTGCATGCCCAGAGAAGCTGACTGTAAGGCACTTACCAGGTACGCTGACAACACATCGGTGCAGTAACTTGTGTCTGCAATAGAGTGCGTTACGTTAAGCATTACCACTTACATACCACGAAATGAAGCATATAATACTAATACATCATGTTCAGCTTAAATTCAAGAAGAAGCATCGAGCCAGTGAAAGCAAAATGATGCGTGTAACTTCAAGGAACAAGAAGGAAACAGGAAACAACCGGGTGCCGAGCAGATCTTATTCGATATCAAGAATACGAAATTGGCATGTGCATTGAACACAGAGCGAAGGCAAGAAGTCAAGATAACCCCTAACTGCTAAGCGTAACAATGTAACAGACCGTATTCCGAGAGAAGGCACAAATAATTGAGTGCGCGTCACGCAAACGGTGAATGGTGCACAACACGTGCAATTTGTAGATGTTGCACGCATTGTAGGTGATTTCCTGACGTTTATAAAGAAAGGAGATACGAACTGACTTCCTGGGACTATTGCCACGTGATCCACCATCACTAAATTCCTGCACGCCTTCTTAACAGAAATTATGCTTTGAGAGAAGCATCAAGTGTAATTACTGCATCAACTGTCATGATCACGTCACTCCCATCTTTCGACCGATGAGTCGGCGGGGGGATAGCTCAAGTATCGTGGCGCGCAACCCTTCAGCTATTTATATGGTGATGCAAGCCTGCTGGTGCGTCATCTCGAAATCGTTCGAGATCAGTGCAGCCGGCGTCGGTACGGTGATCCTGCTGCATCGTACTATATGTGCTGGTAGTCTGAAACGTCGACAGTAATGACACAGTACAAGACACGAGGCACAAACCATGTGCCCCCGACAAAGCTCGTCTCAGTGTGCAGGACACGTTGCCAATATGTACCCATGGTTTTGCTGCACCGAAGTAGTGGCAGAAAACTACCACGTTGCTTACATCTTGGACATACATCTCAGTTCTTCTGACTTAAAGGGCAAATTCAGAAGAAAAACGTATAGCCAGAAAAGGATGAAAGAAATGCCACGTATTCTTATTTTCCTTTCGATTTCTTTTCCCCTTCGTGTCAGAAATACTTAAACAGGTAGTGATGGTTCTGATTACATGGTGATTTTAGTTAGGCAGAATGCATCCATTTTTTAACTGGGCGTAAGACTTCGGGCTTCTTGTGCACCCATGTTAAAAGTGCACACCAAAGCATACGGTGGTGATATCACCGACCACGCAGTGAGAACTGCCGTGATGAGACACTTCGATAAGTTCTTTAATAGTGAAAACATTTCACTTTCCAAAGAACAAAACAAATGCGACCCCTGCAACGAGCACGTAAAGCCTTACCCACGCACGTGACGCGGTCGTCGCTAAGCGTCATTCCGTCTGGACATGAGCACTTATAGAACCCCGGCATGTTGACGCACACGTGGGAGCAGTTGTGCCTCCCAATCAAGCACTCGTCAACGTCTGCAAAATGAAATATGGAAGGCTTTTTCTCAACTTCGTTGGAGAACAGGCAGAACGGCGACGTTATCACCTAGATGAGAAAAACAACGCCACTGTAGTTTTTCAATGGTTTCACTTTTTCCCCTCATTCTCGTTCCTCAATTCTACTGTTGTTTTTTTTACAGCAGTGTTTTAACACTACAATCAGAACCAACTCCCGCTCACCATATTGGCAAAATCTGCCTTCGTACGATGCATTGCACACGCACTCAGCTGATCCGTCGTTCCTTTTAACACACGACTGGCCGTTTTTACATGGACTCGTGCTGCAGGATTCCACTCGACGAGAACAGCTTGCACCTGCGCGCCAAGACAACTTTAGGACAAAGCGAACGAAAGTAAAAAGAATACAAAGACATAAAAAATGCATACAGAGGAAGAAAGCGAGCGACGACATAACTTAGCCCCATTAATTGCAAATTGCCTACTTCCCTGAGAGTGAAGCAGAATAAGAGCGTAAAAATGTCCAGAGAATCTCACCAATGAAATACATTGTTTATCTCCTTCAAATGCTTATCTGCGTACGCGTTCAAAGCAAGGTTTATCTTTCCTGGTTAAAGTATGTACACTGCCACCTGTCAGCTACCAACACCTTAAGTGTGATCAAGCTTTACACTTTTCAAGTGGACCAATGCTGTCACTATACAGGCTACTCATCGAAAAGAAAGTGAAACCTTTGTGAAGTTCTGAAAGCAGCCGGATCGTGGACTGTTTGGTAAACACGAAATCATCTTCAGTTATGTAGCTCAACTGAAATTTGTAAAGGTCTTCACGTACATGTGCTCCCTGTGGTGTTCTAGCTGTCGGAGCTATTTCAGCATGTCACATAAATATATGACGCGAGAGCATGTGACCGTACAGAAGAGGGCTTAATTCAAACGAAATGAACTAAGGTGGACCAACAAGGAATATCTGAAGCTTGAGTTATTTGTCATAGCAGTGCAGTTTCTCTTGTTGAAATCTAAAGTCGATCCATCTATCCACTCAGTTTGCATCGCTGTTTATAATCATTCAAATTTCTAAGTCAACTGTAAATATTTACTTGACTAGTTGAATCTCCGTTTGTCCTGTTCCTGAACCAATATGTGACTATTAAGCGTGCTATAATGGTGGACCACGCATTAATTTGAATTGTATGGAGTTCTTTAATCTGGACCGAAGTTATTGTAACATTGGTATCTTCTTATATGACCCTTGCAAATTACGGCTCTCATGACTCGCGCCCTCATTATTTTGTTTATGCCTGTGCTTTACAGATTATGCTACCCTTTCACGCAGACGTGATCCACCTGTTAATCAAATTCAAAACTTACTTCAGAAGATCATTCATTTAAAACAAACCATTCGAATTTAATTGCACACTTAGAAGATTTATATATTGACATTAAAGGTGAAAACCTGCTCGAGTGCTTGTGGTAAAGCAACCATTTAGATTGTGTTATTTTTTTTGGGGGGGGGGGGGGGGCTTCAGTGCGATATTAATAACTCAAGTTGCAGCTGCAATGAGCCGGCGAGTGTTCGCATAATTCTCTAAAATCACTGAAAAGTACAGGCAATAACAAATGGGACACATCAGCCTTTCCTTCATATTGTATTTCATAATATGAATTCTATTGAGACATGTGCACTTACATACCAAGATTCTGGGCGCTATCTGTGAGACGTCTCTTAAATTACAATCACGTGGTTCAGGATTCTGATCCCACCGGCAGCAAAGGGTTATATTTTGTTTGCCGCCATTTATTTGACTTTATGTCATAATCACTACACAATTAACGGGGCTTAATTCTCTGTTTAATTCCTTTGATGTAATCCGATAAGTCTTTTTTTTTATTATTTAAAATATACCAATCAGCAACTTACGCTCCTCAAGAGAGGCAGATGTGATGTGACACGACACTGCCTGCTTCTTGCCTTGACCACTGTAGGTATCTTAAAAAAAAAAAGAACATCCGAGTTTCATCATCAGCAAAGCATAAGAAAAAAGCAGCTAAAAAAACACATATTTAATTGCTTCTAAAGCGCGTAACGAATAGCTCTACATAGCTGAAATCGAAAGTAACGTATGGATAACGTTCATTGTGAAGCATACTCAATCAATCGATTGATCAATCTGACTGATAATAACATTTTGATAACAGAATCAATCAGACTGATAATAACATTCTAATAACAGAACCAATAACATTCGTGATCCGCGAATGTTAGCTATAATCAGCCATTGTTATCTTTTCTGTGGGATGCGTAGTGAACAAACGGTCATGTGATTTATTCACGTTCATACGAACTGGAAGGCCGAGGAACGTCAGCAGGCCAGAAATCCCAGCAAGCGCAAGCTTGAGTCGCGCGTGTATATCACCGACGCTGTGCCTTGTCCTTCCTCGTTGCTTCGTCGTTGTCTTGCATTGCTCACTACAAAACTATTGAGTACAATGTTGTACGAACAGACATACGGTGTTGCAGAAGGGTTGCAACCTAGCCTATGTGAAGCACTGTGCGTTTGCTTATATAACTTTGATTTCAATGTGATCAAAAACTGCTCGGGAGGACATGATTGCCTTCGAATGCTTCGTGCAGGCAGGTAGATGATAATAAGCTTGATAATATCATGTGAGAAACGCTCAGAGTAATTTTGTAGTATAAGTCACGTACTAATAGTCAGTGCATGATTACTTCTAGGACTATCCAAAATAACTTGATCGTTTCCTAATAACCACGCGTTGCCTCGTCCTCAAGACTTTCTAAATGAATTCAACTTCTTACGTATGTTTCGCCATAAGCTGATATTGGCTACGTCCATACTACCCTAGGCAGACAATCCTAACAAACTTATTGTCTTCTGGAAATACACGTACCTTTGCACAGCTCCCAATCGCCATCGGACACAATGCCATTCGTGGCAGCGAGGCGCAGCTCGGGCCAGGAGACGACATTTCCAGCTATCCGACATGCTTGCGAGATTTCCCTGATTTCACTTGCCGACATGGCGTAGTCCCACACGTTTAGCTGAGAAAAGTGACGGCCACCAATTAGCATTGCGTATCGGTGTAAGATGATTGAAGTTAAATAGCACGCTGCTATAAATGTGCACTAAGAGCTATGCATCTCAATTCAGCACCAACTGTCTTACCGCCTAACTTATATAGCGATGATTGCCATACGGTGCGTATAAAAGAAGAAAATAAGCAGCAGCGTTTCATGCGATGACTCGGGTTATTTGCTTTGCATCAGTTATCACGTGTGTACTTTTCAAGCTGGTAGTCACGGGCACAAGTTCCACTTATATTTACACTTTCCTTTTATTCTTCCCTCATTCGTAAGCCTTAATGATAGACTATTTTTTTCCTATCTGTCTCTCTTTTTCAAACGTCCCGGCTATCACTGCAGTAGCGTTCATCTTGCTCCAACCGGAATACCCACCTCGGCCACGTGCCCAGAATATGCCTCGATGCCACTAAACGCTGCTCCCAAGTCATCTTGGTCTTGTCCCACCACAAGTACTCCAGGGAACACGACCTCACCGGCAGCTCTGTAGTTGCGGGCCTTCTCCTGCTCGGTCCCAGTAGAAGATCCACTGACCGTCCGAACTATCCCAAGTAACCGCGCAGTGGTGCCATTGGCCGTCGCTACGCATTGTAAACGAAGCGCGCAATCTCGGTTATTTTTGTAGCAGCCCATTGATATGCTCTCTCGTGGCTACTGACGATGCTTGGTCGTTATAAATATGGTGCTGCACTCTGTGAAGCCCTAGAATGTTTGCAATATTTCGAAAGTGATTGCTCAGGAGCCTCCAGATAACCGATAATAAGTCATTCATGGAGACATAATTCAGTAGTGGCTAAGGCATAGAAAAATGCAAAGGAAAGTTGAGCATGTTGGATGGAGCCTTCAATTTGCCTTCAGCAGCAGGGGCGTGACCTTAATGTGGTAATATTCTTTTAATGACGAAGCTGTTCATGTAACGCCTGGCTTCATTTGGTGTCCTTTTACTAGCTTAAATGTCTGCTTCCTGTTAACGGAAATACCATTATTTAACTTCGCGTAGTATACTTCTCTTAGATGGGAACCTTCGTGATTTAGTCCCTTTTATTGAATACGAGCGGATCATTGGCAAGGCATTCATGAATCTAGAACATAATCTTAAATTTGTTGCAGAAGAAACAATTCTGGTCATATCATTAGACATCTTTTATCATTCACGGATTGTGTGCTCTGTTCTAAGCTTTCATCTGTGGTCTATGCGAGATCAAATATTGCTGAAAAGTGTCTTTTCTCAATGCGTATACTAGCGACGACTATTCATTTCACATCGCCGTGATACTCGTTTAAGTTGGGGCTAAAACATTCGCCGCATGCCTCAGGTCTCTGAACGATTAGGGATTAGGGCAATGACCTCCGCATTAGAGCTATATTACAAAGTATACGAGGACATTTTTGCACTAAAACGTTTGACAATGTGACCAAAACTCAAGGCAACATTCAAACTGAATGCTCTTTTCAAGCCATCAAACGGTTATCAAGCAAGTAAATCGAACAGCCTACATGCTTCTATATAATGCGGAATCTATGATGCTTCGCTCATTATTAGCGAAATCCACTGGGAAATTACGAAGAGCGCTCACGAGCGTACGCTTTTTTTTTTAAGATTTGACCCTTCTCGTGTATCTGCCTATTCTACCTACATTTTATTGCTCTTGATCTCTCGCATCTCTTTTTTTTTCTCTTTCTTTATTCAACATTTAACACCTGCTCTCACTCTAGAAACTGCACTGCGATACCACATTCTACGTACACCGCGCTTTCCATGATTATTTGTTCCGCGGAATCGTACGCTTGGTAATAGTCTGCACGAATCCCCCACCAAATCGGAAGGCACAGTTGTCACTGTTCTAAGATCTACGGTAGCCTTTCAGTCGCGGAATGAGGCGGCAAACTACAAGCGAAAAAAAGTCTGCAAACACGAATCATTGCTCACTTTGCAACCACCTTGGTGTCGTAGCTCTCGCCGTACACGTAGAGAAGCAACTTGTTGGGATCAGAGACTGTGAAGGCATTGTCCTGGACTTTGCTGGTACGCGGGTCGGCGAATGCGTACGAGAACACCGTGCCGCGTTCCTTGGTTTGGGTCGTCTTCATGTGGAAGGAAAGAGTCAGGGCACGCAAGTAGCGTCTGACGGGAACCATTGCGTAGTTTAGAACAGAGGCTTCCCGAAAGTACAGTGTGAATTGCGACGGCAGGACTGGAAAAGGCGGAAAAGAATTCAATAAATTGTTTGCTGTCATTTTGATTTTCTCAAGATCACTGAGTCACTCCTAATTGCATAGATTGTCTGTGGCACTGTTAGCAATATTGCAATGTATAACGGATGTACTATAGTGAATATTTCATTCATAAACTTTGTGCCAACAAGACCGCCATGCGCAATTTACGCAGCTTGACATATAAATAGCTAATCACCACCTGAATTTAGTTTACCAATCATTAAATCATTGATTGTAAATAAACTTTTTCATGCGGGTGTTAAAACTGACCAGAGTTAAGCAGGTTTGTTTTGCAGATGTGCGAACATCAGCGCCATTTCTGATAATCGTTCCAAAATCATTCTAGTTGGCGGTTGGTGATCCACGCTTATCCTTGACTTTAGATTAAGCGTAAGAAAGCGGTTCACGCTATTGTACATGACGTGGCGGAGGGCTCCAGATAACTTTGGCCACCCAGTCTTCTTTAGCGTGAATGAATGAAACCACGTTTAGTCCACTTCGTTTGCCCCGAGGGCACTGCAGTGTGCCAAAGGACATGAGGTCCCTTACAGGGACAGGGCACTATTGAAGATGAAGGGCGTAGAGCTGCCTCCATTTTATTAATAGACTTTAAGGAGGCACCTAAGTGGCGGCCGCTTCGCACGGTATGACAACCGCCAAGCGTTTCGCCGCCGTTTCTAGCAGCGTGGCTGTGAAAATTGCCCCCCCAAAATTAAGCCAAAATAATTAGACGGGAAGTATTGGTGGCTACTCAACTGTGTTGTAATTATGCTCGCTTTAAACTGAAAGAAAGTAAACTGTGCAGAAAAAATCGCCCTTTCACTGGGTAGAATCAGAACCCACAACATTCGTATTACGCATCCGAAGCATGCGCGTGAGTTATGCCTAAGATATAATGCGAGGATTTATTCGTCAGCTGCCACCTCATGCAAAGATCACGTGCCCTGTGGCGCTCTTAGGCCCTGGAAAAAAAAAAGTCTTCCCTACTTACTCCCAGGGCTAAAAGTGGCAAGAGACCTCTTTATATCATTGCAACCTAACTTAAAATGAAGCGAGGCCTGAACTCTTCGGCTTTATAATTTTCTGTTCTTCCTAGACGGCGCTTACCAACATGGACACGCATCACCACACGCAGGAAATTACATCACTTATCACCCCCCTAAAACCAACATGCCAAGGATGACAAGGCGCCTTTGACAAAGGTAGGTCCTCCTATTGAAACTTCGGCCATACGTCAGCGGCATTTTCACTGTTCATTCTGCTTATCCAACTCCCAAGTAGTGGGCACACAAACACACCTCAAAAAGGTGAGCGAGAGAGTGCTCTCCATCGTAACTGAAAGGGCTGAGCTTCGAACGCGTAACTTGAAAGTTGCGGTTTCGGAGGGGTGATTTTTTTTGTCTACTTTACTTATTTTCGATTTAAATAAGAATCTTTACAGTACAGCTAAGAAAAGACAAATAATTTCCCTTTTGTTTTCTTTTGCTCTTTTTTTTCATTTTTCATTAACTTATAATACAAAAAACGAGCCCTTCGGAGAGTTTCCTACTTTTGTATTTTTTAATCTCATGTCACTCAGCGACTGTTTTGGTCTAGATGCACACCTTCGTTATGCTGGAGATAGTTTTGGCGTGGTAGTCGTGCATCATACAATGACACGACGATGTTGATGAAAGGCGCATTGATTGATCGATTGATTGATTGATTGATTGATTGATTGATTGATTGATTGATTGATTGATTGATTGATTGATTGATTGATTGATTGATTGATTGATTGATTGATTGATTGATTGTAAGACCTAAAGAGAAAGTAGGCGCGGAGATTTGACCTAAACAAATGACGCAGCGGGCGCCCACACATGTGCAGTCTACATCAGCCAGACGAATGAGTAGAGGTACTTGTCAAACTGGTTATAGTGAATCAGAACGACCAATCAGGGGCCGTGTGAGTTCTCTCTCACCTTCCGTGCAAGTGGGGCCCGTGTAGAGTCCGTGGCACTGGCACGTGAACGAGCCGAGTCCGTCGACGCATGTGCCGCCATTATGGCACGGTGACAAAGCGCAGTTGTCCACCTTCCTCTCGCAGCGACGGCCTTGGAAGCCCGGCACGCAAGCGCACTGGAACGAGTCTCCTCTCTTCGTGCACAAACCGTTGTTCAGGCAAGGGTTCGGCCAACACGCGTCTTCCGCCAGCTCGCATGTCTTGCCTTGAAAACCTCTCGGGCAGCAACATCGAAAGCCCTGCGGGAAGAATAGCCAGGTCATATAAGCAAACTCACGAACATTTTTAGTGCGCCAGTAACTTGCCGAGCAATTGCCAGCTATGTCACATAAAATAAAGCTCGTGAAAGCGGCCCGCCGGGGGAGAGGTGGTGCTGAATGCCTAGCGCAGGCATGCATCCCCCTATACACCACGATGGTCTATAGCGATCACTGTACTCAGCTACAGACCCAAAGGTGGCGGAGTCTAATCCGGACGCGGTGATCACATTTCGATAGAGGTGAAATCCTACAGGTCCACGGACTTCATGAAGTCAGTGCACGTTAAAGAACACCAGATACTCGAAATTCCCGCAGCCCTCCACTACGGAGTATACCTTATAATGATATTATAGTGGTTTTGGCACGTGATACCACAGATATTATTATGCCTGCATGCTACTCGTTCAGAAAACTGTACAAGCGCCAAAATTATTTTCAAGATTGTGCCATTTAGGCACAAAAAAAAGAATAATTTCAATTTCATCTGCCAAGATAGTCTAGTGGTTATCATGATCCACTGCTTACCCGAAGGTCGTGGGATCAAATCCTGGCCGTGGCGGCCACACTTTGATGGAGGTGAAAACGTTTGAGGTTACTTAGGTCCAGGGGAGTGTCAAACAAGCCCCGGTGGTAGGAATTTCCGGAGCCCTACAGCACGGCCCCCCTCATAACTATATCGTGGCCTAAGGACAGTGAACTCGGACACTTATTATCAGATATTCAGATTCACGTATCGTGAGTAGTCGTTCTGCAGAAACCAACTTGGAAGTGTCCTGTGACATCGTTCACCACCGTCTTCGTTATAACTGTAACACCTCTACAGATAAGTTAAAACGATGATTAGACTTACTGTGATGCTCTCGAAGCACGTGCCACCGTTGAGACACGGGCTCGTTGCGCAGTCGTGGAACGTCGCTTCGCACTGCTTGCCCGTGAAACCTTTGGCGCACTTGCAAGCGAACTTGCCAATGCCGTCAATGCAGGTGGCGCCGTTGAGACAGGGCCCTGCAATTTTGGTACGTATGGATCAAGCAACTCGATGAACCCACCACGTTGTCAGCCTTTCGCATAGTTCCCAAGTGGGGACAAACTTGAAATTGCTGCTCGTGCAAGTAGGCGTAACTGACATGTGCTTAAAACTTTGGAGCCAACACGAAGAAATCACTTTCGGCAGCTAGCTTCGGACGATGGAAAGTGGGTATTAGGCACAAGCATAATCGAACATTTAACGAGTCATGTTTATTCAAGAAAAATATGAGCACGTAAATGTTCCCGGCCGCCAACCCGAATGTCTCGTATACGAGGGTGAAAGTATAGTCGATATTTTTTATATATGCAGTCACCGCCACAGGTCAGCCGACTAGCACACTTTATCTTCCACTGGCACAATTCATTTGTTGCCTCGCAGTGTAGTCGGAAACGAAAAGTTCACTTTGGGCTTGCTGACAGCGTTTATGCAGGCACCAAATTTCTGACTTACGAAAAACGAGATGTTCCATCTTGTTATAGCACAACATTACTTCAGCCGTTTGACATGGTTCCTTCAAACGTGACTCCTACACGTTTAGCATGAACTATCTGTCTAGACACAGTGTGGACAATGAGATACTTACCAGCATTTGCCACCCGAGAATATCTATACAGCGGGAGGATGTGACTGTAAGTCGAAAAAGCAGATGCTAGTTCTTCTTCTGGCTGGTCACGTGCTTATCCATATGCATAAATGTATATGCGATTTCCGCTGCATTCACGGGAAGATTATCCTACAGCATTTATGATGTAATATAGAAACGAGAATCCTCCGCTAGTTTGTCGTAGAGTCAGGATGTACATCACGAAAGCGCAGGTTTTGCACAACGAAAGAATGTAGGCTTTCAGAGAGTGTCTTCTTTGCCTGATCCCCGCGTGCTATATTGCAAGGAATGTAGCACTGTAGAATAACTCATTTCTGGACTAGTTGTTTACCCTTCTTAAGCGTGACGCTCTCATAGGGCAAAAACAAGGAGGTATACTCAAGTTCGTGCGTTGCGCTCCTATGTTTCCTTCTATCGTATTTTTTCTCCTGCGGGTCCTCACCTGAAGCGCAATCGTCGATGTTGGTCTCGCAGTTAGTACCAGTGTAGCCGGGAGGGCACAAGCAAGTGAACGTGCCGACGCCGTCGACGCACGTGGCACCGTTATGGCATGTGTCGGGCTCGCAGTCGGGCAAATTCTCTTCGCAGCGTGGTCCACGCAGGCCTTCGGGGCACACACACCTGTAGCCAGTCGCCTCGTCCACGCACGTCGACCCGTTGGCACATGGCTGCAGCTCGTTGCAGTAGCTGATCGCTGTAGGGCAAGCAGTGAGAGTTAGCGTAAATGGGGTTAAAACAGAGTTTCAGTATAGGAGACTCGGAGCCGTTAGGGCCTCAAACTCTTGCGTTCTTTCGCATTCCGGTTGGCGAACAGAAAGCGAGATAAGTACTAAAGAACGCAAAGGCTTCGGTAGCCAACAGCAATAGGGTTAACCAGTACCTAAACTCTCATGCCCAAAAATTCGAGAACAAGTTGCAATCATGAGTCCTGCTGCAAGTTAAGAACCATCGTCTTGCGTTTTTGATAGCTCTTGATTACATTTCTTCTAAGTATAGAGAGCTCTGAAGGTAGGCAACTTTTCAAGTCAGCTGCCTCAAAATCTGAAAATTGTTGCACGACGCGAAAAATCACAAGGCAGTGTGAACACATTGGTACAAACACACAAATAGTATCAACTGGCGCCAGCTATCAAAGCGTTCTGAAGCTTCTGAAGCGTTGTTAGATACTTATAGGATGGGGAACCGTTACATTCGATGAAAAATATCACACATGTCTCTTCCTGTTCAAACCTATGGATACAACGTAGCCATGATGTCAGGCATTAAAAAGGGGCACCGCGTGAGTAGAAATGATACTTTTTACAACTTCAATGCAAGTCATGTTCAAAATTGAAGGGTCCTAAATGAGTGTTGATCACACGAACGATAATGTGACTGGCCATTTGGCACGCCACTTCAAAATTCTTAGGGGAATAATCTTGGCATAAGTGTGCCCAATGGGTCAATTCGTATAAGTTTATTGGTACATTTATTTATTTTTTATTCGCTCCCTAATTCTATAAAAAGCATGCCAATGGACTGCCGGCCTTGTAACGATCTACATGCATTATGACGCTTAAGATGCTCAATAAAAAAAAGAAGGGTGGAGGGCTGAAAGTTCGCAGGCCGCTATCCGATATATCTACATAGATGGCAACGTGGCCTGCGAAATTTTTACCAACCCTTCATAATGGTCTTTCTATCGAAACGTACGCTTGCATCGAAACCAGCTTATTTACTCTTTTGATACCTTCGCACTGCATAGCCAACCGTGCTGGTGTGAATGCAGCCATTGTGGTACCAATGTCAGCAGTGGTTACCATTATTATTGAACACAGCATCTCCAACAACCTTCGTTGACATGCCCCGCCGCGGTGGTCTAGTGGCTAAGGTACTCGGCTGCTGACCCGCAAGTCGCGGGATTGAATTCCGGCTGCGGCGGCTGCATTTTCGATGGAGGCAAAAATGCTGTAGGCCCGTGTGCTCAGATTTGGTTGCACGTTAAAGAACCCCAGGTGGTCGAAATTTTCGGAGCCCTCCACTACGGCGTCTCTCATAATGATATGGTGGTTTGGGGACGTTAAGTCCCACATATCAATCAAATCAAAACCCTCGCTGGCAGCGTTGTCTTACCTTAGTTTCTCTTGTTTCACTATACTCTGCTTGGTTCATTTTGAATGTATACTAACATATTTCTTTAGCAGTGACAGTGGTAGCATACTGTTTATGGGCAGGCATTGCTGTTCCATGCTAAATGCACCACGATTCGAAAACGTTTCAAATGCGTCAGTTTCTCGATACGTCTGGTAAAGTGATGAGATGATTACAGTGGCTAATACGAATGAAAACAGCCACATCAAATCTCCGATGGAACAGCATTTATGTGCTTACCGGCAGTGCCAAAACTTGGCGCTGCTAAAAGGCCTTATGGCCTGCACAGATAGAATAACAAAAAAGGGGTTCAACTTGCCCACGCAGTCAGATTTGTCCACCGTTCCAGCATTACGCGTTCCAAGTCCACCGGGGCACTTCAGGCATGAAGTCTGGTTCGCTGCAGGCTGGTACTCGCCAACGGGACAAGGCTTGCATGGTGCCAGGCCGTTCAGGGAGTACATTCCGGGATTGCAGACCACTGCGAAAAATGAGACTCAATATGCAACTCAATTACTGGAGTGAATTTCCAGCACAACACACGCCTACGAAAAATGGGATTCGGAACGCAACTCAGTTACTGGGTTGAATTTGGCGAGCAGAAAGCAAAAAAAAATAGAAAGAATGAACGACTCTGATGCAAACCACACGCGTGCCCGGTTTGCTATCCTACTCAAGGGGAAGGGGACCAAGACAGACCAAGGGGACCAAGCTGAGGAGGAAGACGAACACCGCCAAACATTACAGTCCATTACGTCTACCCGTGAAGTCTACAATTGATCACAAATACTGGTTAATTTTTATACATAGTAGCAATGCCAGCGTCGCTTTCAAAGCTTGGAACCGTGCGCTGTGTCAAGGTCCAGAAATATTTTGCTTTGAAAATGACCTAAAATCTAGTCTGCCTAACGCAACCCACAAAACATAGCTTTCAACGTTAAAACGATCATCACACCACTTACGTCATGGCCACTTGCGATGAATGCTCATAACCCACGTGATTTACGCGACTACTGAGTAGGAATCTTTAAAAAGTTCTCGTAAAAATTTCGTAAAAATCTCGTAGAATCTAGTAAAAAGTTCCGCTCATCAAATAATTTGTACGCCGGCCGAGCATTTCTTTAGCACAGCCTATTCCCTAATAAAAAATGTCTCGTCATCTACACGCCGTTTTTCCCTCATTCAGTTACTTTAACGAAAACCTTCACCTGAAACACGGGGTGAAACGAGAACGCTAAGTCTTGCAGTGTTCTATTGGTGGCTGTGATTTATCACTGTTCGACTGGAGTTTTCGGCTTCGATTTCTGAGATCGGCGACCAAATCACGCCTGGCGCGCACTTCAGAACTGATAGTGCAAGCACGTTGTATATTTATGCTGAACTTCGAAACCTTGCGAAGATCACATAAAACTTTGTTGGAAAAGCAATAACATCGAAGCAGTGTACATCCAGCGTTTTGGAAGACGCAATCACCTTGGCATTCGAAAGATGATCCGGCACCCCAGTAGCCCGTCGACAAGCCTCGGGGACACGTCTTGCACGAGCGCTGGCCTACTTCGTCCTGGTAAGAGTGTGGATCGCACGCAATGCAGGGCTCCTTTCCAGTCGTTGACCACGTTCCAGGCGCACACAGATCTTTTTGAGACATGCGAGTGATTGAAGTAAGTTCGAGGCACGTAGCGTTAAGGAGCACTCTAATACAACATAGCATTCGCGCTGATTTGATCTCATCTCTTCTGATCACCTCCGCACGCCAACTTCTTTAAACGTGACTGCAATCGCTTTTGGACATTACGAACACTTCTGTGACGTATTATCGTTGTACGAAGTAAATCATCAAAACTAGTTGGGTCTATAAGCTTTTCTCGTAATCTCGCAGCTTCCACAAATTTTTTTCTCGTTTTCTCAGGACAGTCTTCTCTGAGTACATTATATCTGTGACTGTCGCATGCAAAAAAAAAACATGCTATGAAAGAATATTATACACAGTTCACAGGAACTTTAGAGGCTTAGGCAAGAGAACTCTACCAACTGCGTCAGCAACAGAAGTGGCATTTTGAGTGTGTGTGTGCTTGAACTACGATTTATTGCTCAAACCTTAGCATTGTTTCCAGAAGGCTAGTGGTTTAGCAAGGCTGAATTATGTTATGGTCTGTGGGTTGGTGCTTTTATTTGTTGTTTTGTATTGTCAACTGTGGGCTAAACCTCATGGTGGGACATGTTTGCACCGTCTTCTTTTTTTCAATTACATGGTACAATGAAGCTCTAAGCATTGACTCTGGCGTTTAAGAGAAGAAGGAGAAAAGAAAAAGCAAGAGTGAACTGATGTGCTTTCGCTTGGCTGCCCTACACTGGGCGAAGTAAACTAAGAAAAAACGTATGGAGAGCGAGTGGGTGGAGCCCCTATTCCAGGGCTCTACTGGCATGAGTGGCCCGTTGCGCCTGGTCGAGGTAGTTGCATCCGCAGATCCTCGCTTGTGAGCAAAGTCTTCCACTGCTCCCTTTCAGAAATTCGGCCAGCTATTAGCGGATAGTTAAGTTCGGTTGGCCTGTTCTGACAATCGCACGTTATGCGGGCGAGAGTTATCATCGACATTTCTAACTTCTTCGCACGTTCACAAAAACACACGGTTCGTGTCCCGACAGCTTCTTTGTTGATAGGAGTTTGTACGTCTGATGTAAATAATTTTCTTTCAATCTTATAGTTCGTGTTACCTAGGCACTCGGACGCTGAGGCAGCCCTTCCTTCCAGCGTGGTCTTGTTGTCCGGGCAGAGGTCACAGGTTTCGCTGGCTTCCCTGTCGGAATATGTTCCAATGGGGCACGGCATGCAGCTGTTCTCGTAGTAATAGGTTCCAACGGGGCAATTCACTGTGTCGGGGAAAGATTAGTTTCGTTCAAATATTAGTTGAAGTACCAGACTTGAAATGCTGTTAACAGGTTCGGAGAACACTTCCGTTTAAAATACGAGAAAATGGCACCTCACGGCAAGGCGATGCTTTTGCGGGGCTTGTTCGGTCACATAGCATGAAATTCGTTTGGTCACGTAACCTTACAGCGCTTTCTAGAATGGCACCGTAAAAAATTTCCTTTTTGCGTCGTGAAGAGGATAGCACCACCATCTGAGAATTCCTCTTTTTTGAACACTTTATTGTGAAATTTATCGGCGGTTAGCTTTTTGTGCGTGCAGATCGAAAAATGTCCTGCTGAGGTCTAATTTGATGGTTACTTTGACACCCGTATATAAATGTGCAGTTAACAATGAATGAGTGAGAATCACGATTTAACGTACCTGATATCAAGCTGTGTTTTTTTTAAACACCTAGGCTTCTCTAATGCCGCGTGTGAGGTGACGTTATTTATTGTTGTTTCATTAGGTTAATTAAATTTTTTCAATTGTGGCAGAGCTCTCGTTCTTGCGAATCCAGAGGCAACGAAATCTTCGAAAATTCAGTGGGCATTGTTTCTGTTGCACTTCTTACGGGTTAGCATTTCGCCAGCCATCATTCAATTGCATTCAGATACGACCACATGATAAATAAAAAAAAACTGCATGCCCTGGCTTGTAGAGCAGGGTTACGTCGAAAGCCCTCGAATTTTCCAATAGCATTTACCTCCATTTGCGCTTAATTAAGTGTACTAAAAGGCCACGGCCACCAATATTTCAGTGCTGCTTCTCACTGGCCTACGCTCATTATGGATTCGGTGCTCGATATGCAGCTTGCCGTACATGAGTTAAAGTCGGTCAAATTGCACGTGTAAATAAAACAGAGTGATTTAATTGTAGCATCATTGCAGGTAGCAAAGATTGTGGAAGCTGCGATGACTCTTGTGTAGCTCGCAAGCAGCTCATACACTTACCACACAGCAGTCCGTTGGGCACCTGTCCTCTACCACAGGCAGACTTTATCGAGTGTGTGGTTCCCACAAGAGCGGCGTCAGGAAACGTTTGGGCAACTGTTTCGTTGAATGCCTCGCTCAAAGCTTGTTGCACCACCCGCGTCAATGCAGTCTCCTCCGCTGCACTCGGAGGGACCAGGCTCGAGTTCTTGCAGTCCTAGTTAAAATAAGTAAATAAAAACAAAATTACGTGTCTCACGTGCTCTGAAAAGCAGTTACCAAACGCACGTATTCAAAGTCAGACCTCCAGTAACATTTTCATTAATAGGTTATGTAGATAACGCCCTCGCAGTTTGTGACCCATGCGGAAGTGCTATGGTTCTTATTTCCTCACCCCCTTACATTTGCTTTGTTGCGTAGTTTGTATTTATCGCTATTGAAATATTTACTAAATAATATAAACTTGCTTGGAATGTTTTGAGTTCCAACCACAACACATTTCGTTGGTCGAATGTTCGATACCCTGCACGCTTGAAAGGATTCTAATGCCTTCATGCCTCGCGGGTTCATGTATCGACATCATATACACCTGCAAGCAGGTGGTTTGAGTCTCTATAGGAAGCCTTAGCGGGGACCCATTGGTCATGGCACTTGGCTTCTGACCAGCAAGTCGCGGGTTCGATCCCGGCCTCGGTGGTCGCATTTCCATGGAGGCGAAACACCAGAGGGCCACGTGCAGTGCGATGTCAGTGCGCGTTAAATAACTCCAAGTGGTCTAAGCTATTTGGACCTCTCTACTATACGACTTCCCTCACAGTCTCAGTCGCTTGGAGACGTGGAGGGAGGGAGGAGGGAGGGAGGAAGAAAGAAAGAAAGAAAAAGAAAGGAAGGAAGGAAGGAAGGAAGGAAGGAAGGAAGGAAGGAAGGAAGGAAGGAAGGAAGGAAGGAAGGAAGGAAGGAAGGAAGGAAGGAAGGAAGGAAGGAAGGAAGGAAGGAAGGAAGGAAGGAAATGAACAAAAGGGAGAAGGCAGGGAGGTTAACCAGAAAGACATCCGGTTGGTATTCCATTCTAGCATCTGGGCACAGCACAAGAGGAGGACTAGGTGACTTAGTTTGTTGTCACTCGGTCCTTTGCTTGTGCTCTACGCTAAATGCTAAAATATTTATGAAAAAAAGATAGTGGGTTAGAGCATGCATTCGTACGTGCGTGCGCGTATTGATACAAGATCTTTGCTTTCGTTTTCAATAACTATAGAACGTGGTAATTGTGTCCACCATGCTCATCACCTGGGCAGGAGCGGTAAAAGCGCAACACGTGAGACAGCGTTAACTTATTGAGTGACATCCATGGCCCTATAAGTTGCAGACGCTAGCTTCACAAGCCATAGCGAATCAGAAGAAAGTATTACCTCGCAACTGTCGATCAGTTCCGTGGTGTTGAAGCCGGTGTCCAGCGGAAGGTCGAACGAGAAGAAGAGTTCGAACTCGCCATCTTCGCCTCCCTTCTGGGCCTGCCTCTTTGTAAGCTGTCTCTTGACGCGCTGGCTTGCACCAGCTATCCTGTTCGAGGCATTCTTGTGCTCGCATTTGATGGACACATTTTCCACGGTGCACTTACTATTGCGCCCACACAATTTTTGTATATGGCCCATTTTTTCCATAAGTACCGCTAAGAATTTAGCCTTCAACGCTCTCATTTCAGCTTCGCTTCTTTGGCAGGAACTTGTCTTGTATGTGGCGCCGACGGTGATGTTTGCCTCGGTGCTCCTAGTCGACGCTGTAAAAGAGAATAGCAATGTGAGAACGCGAAAATGACATGTGTTACAGGGGTCATCAGTCTGCTGACGTAAGCGTATTTTCAAAAGACAAACGCTGGATTCGATCCCTATATGTGTGCGTTTGAGGATAGTAGATGTCTGCGGTAGCGAGATTTGGTGCGCACAACTTCTTGAAACCCTTAAGTTGTGTGAAAAAAAAACTGTTTCGCCGTAAGAGCGAAGTAATCACTGTCGTGGCGACAAATTTTACCGTTATACGAGGTAAGGCTATCAGCTAACTTTCTGAGGTGCAATTGCGCGTAATTCTACGAAACGCTGGCGTAAAGAAATACAACCGCTCCAGGGCACAAACTTGTGTTCTTGCTGTCAGCTGTCTCAACACGAAGTAAGCGGGTATAGCAGAGCGCTTAGACGGGTATACGAGCTTTCTACTCATGTTTGTTGAGATAGCATTTGTGATTGCGCAATTTTGGTCAGAGTTCGCAGTTACTACTCGAGCAAGAGAGCTCCCCACCTCCCCCTACCTGCGCCCTTTCATGCTTGTTCAACTCTGAGGAAAGACGAGCAGAGCGTTTCTTATCTGCTTTAGTAGCATTCAATGGCAGACCTGTCATGCGGGGTGATGTTATCGCATGCATCCTTCGGGTGACGGAGGTGGCAGGCTCGTTTCAACTCTCGTCCAGCCACCTTCCTCGACACTGCTAGCGCATTTTAAGTGTGAATACACTTTATAAGCGACCCCAAACCATCCACCGCCGTCGGCGGCGTCCGCAGTCTTCTCTCTATCTTTAAAAGAAAGAGGACTTGGCGGGCCGCAGCGCGACGCTCTACCGAATAAGCCACGGACGCGACGCTGATATCGGTGTCAGTAACGCGCCTTACTTGGGAATGTAGCATAGTGCCGCCGCCGGTGGATATTATGCGTGATCCCTCTCTTGAGCACTGGGAGGCCGTGTTGACCAGCTCGGACCCAGTCGTCCAGTTAAGGGTCGTGGAGTGGGCCACACAGGTCGCCGCCAACCATGGGTTGATGGCCATCTAACACGGAATCATCCTCAGTTGCTTTCTGACGAAATAAAGTTTTTCCATCCATCCATATACCCCCTCCCCCTTCGCTCACTCCTCCGCTCTCCTCGCTCGCTGCAGCTGCGCGCGCACCCCTCTCTCTCTCGCGCACTCCTTCTCTCTCAGTCTCCCGTCGAGAGTGGGTCGTGCGATGGATGTCCCGGAGGCAACGCTACCATCAACAACGAATGCAGTACAACCGAATGCCAGCACTGCACCCGTCGTTGGAGGTGACGGTACCGCGGTGGTTTCGCCGACGTTGGAAGACAAGGCGACGCTGCGAAGGGCTCGTGAGACCGAACGTAAGCGGGCGAAGTGTGCAGCGGATGCCGAACTGCGTGCTCGCGAGGCCGAGTGCAAGCGGGCGAAGCGTGCAGCGGATGCCGAACTGCGCGCTCGCGAGGCCGAGGACAAGCGGGCGAAGCGTGCAGAGGATGCCGAACTTCGCGCTCGCGAGGCCGAGGACAAGCGGGCGAAGCGTGCAGAGGATGGTGAACTGCGCGCTCGCGAGGCGTATTGTATTTTTTTTCTGCAGGAAAAAAATGTATTACTGTGTTATCTGTATTATATGATTGTTTTTTTGTTTTTTTATGTTGTTACCTCAGAGCTGACCTGTACACTTTTTTATGTTGCACATTGTATTGGACCGTCCACTAGCCACTTTAGGCTAACGGTCCAAATAATCCCTGTAATTACATATATCTATTCATGAAAATAAAGTTTCATTGATTGATTGATGAGGCGTCAGCATCGAGCCGCGAACACGGCCCAAGTAGCGGAATGACAACGCAAGCGTCAGGCGGAGAAGGGCGATGAAGGCCGGCGTCAAGACGCCGCTCGCAATCGTCAACGGCGAGTGGACGTTCCCGAAGCCGTTCGAGCCAGTGAACGTGCCGCGCGGGAGAGGGTGCGAGCCCTGGACTTTGCTCGTCCGGACGCGCGTTTCAAACGCGACTTTGTGGATCGCAGCTCCGGTCACAGCTGCGCCGTGTGTGACCGGCTGTGGTTCGATAACAATCTGAGCTGCATTTCCGGCGTGAGGAACGAGACCAAGAGGTTGAGCGCGTTGCGGGCTCTTTGGAACGAGTTTGGAAAATGGTCAGGCGAACACCGATGCGACGACATGGATGCGCAAGACCCGCGGCTGGCTCCCTTCGGTGCGTTCCGGGTGTGTGCGTCTTGCCGAGAGTCCCTGCTGGCCGGGCGGGTTCCGCCGTTGAGCAAGAGCCACGGCTACGCGTACCCGCCTCGTCCCGCGGACCTCCCCGATCTGAACCCGGTGGAAGAGCGCCTCATCTCGCCTCGACTCCCCTTCATGAGCATCAGGCGGCTCACGCGGGGCAACGTTCAGTACGGCATTAAGGGACAGATCGTGAACGTGCCCATCGACGTTCCGAGCGTGGTGGAGTGTCTTCCGCGGCTGGTTCCCGAGGACGTTGCGATAGACATGCACGTGAAGCGGAGGCTGGTGAGTCCGGCTACGTACAGGCGCGGACTGGTGAAGCGCGGTAACATCTTGGCGTGGTTGAAGCACCTGGAGCATGCGCCGTTGTATGTCGCTAGCGGCGTGCGCATCGACTGGAGTCGGCTGGGTGTCTTCGATGACGATGATGCGGCCGTTTGTGAAGGTGAACGCGCCCAGGGGGGAGACGACGCGGATGACATCGAGACTGTCCCCGAGAACATAGATTTGGACGACCCCGTGCAACTAGCCATTGCCCTCAATGCCATGTCAAAGACGATCTTCTTTAATGAGGAGGGTGAGCAACGACCGCGCGCTCTCTTGATGAGAGATGATGGGGAGCGAAGCGGTGAACTGGACGATGCCGCTACCGCTGACAAGCTGATCTATCAGTCGCATAGCCTGCACCTCGCTCCGGGTGAGAACCGCGTCCCACTGGCGCTCTTCATGGATGCGTATGCGGAAGAGCTCGCCTTCCCCACGATATACATGGGCGTGCCTCGCAAGATCATCGGTCCGCGTTCCACGCCATTCGCCATGGCCAGCAGCGAGATACGGCGCACCGACCGGCGTGGAGCAACGCCGGAGCATGTCTTGTACATGGCCGCGAAGGTGATGCGTTACAACGTTGCGGAAAGCAACATGATGTTTCGCACCAACGAGACCACTGGTTCCATCACGCGCGAGCAGCTCGAGAGTGGCGGTAAGAAGTTCCTGGACGAGGTGCTGGACCGCGACCTCGCATTCATGCGGGGCGTTCCAAATACGGTCCAGTACTGGCAGGATTGCAGGAGTGAACTCTTCGCAATGATCCGCCAGTTGGGCAAGCCGCACGCGTTCCTGACCATGTCCGCGTCCGAGGTTCACTGGGAGCACCTGCTCGAGACCCTGGAGCGGCTGCGGGTTGGGCCCGACGGCACGCCTCGGCCCGTGTCTGAGATGATGGCCTGGGAGCGCGTGGAGCTCGTGAACGAAGACCCCGTTGCCTGCGCGATGTACATCAACAGGATCTTCGACGTCATCATGAACGTGCTCGCCGACCGAAACTGCTCGCCATTCCGCCCGTACGTGATCCGGGATTACTTCAAGCGGGTTGAGTTCCAGCAGAGAGGAAGCGCGCACATGCACGTGATCCTGTAGCTCGAAGAGGCGCCCGACGACGAGCTCACCGTTGAGGAAGGTGCCATGCCCAAGACCTTCGAGATGGTGGCCCAACTCCTCACGCTCGACACTACGCTCCTCAGGCGGCCGCGCACGCAGACGCATCAGCACACCCACACGTGCTACAAGCGCGGCCGCACCAAGTGCCGGTTCAGGGTGCCCTTCATGCCCAGTGATGAAACGAGGATCGTGGTGCCGTTTCCACCTGCGCCGGAGGGACACGATGCGGAGAGTGAGCGGGAACGCCAACGTCTCAAGGCCCTCAAGAAGTATGATGAAATGCACGAGGGCCTCGAGTCCGGCGACTTTGATGATCTCGCCTCGTTCCTACGCGCTTTCGGCCTGCACTCCGAGAAGGAGTATATGGATGTCCTGCGCGCCGGCCTTTCGCGACCCTGCGTCCTCCATCGAAGGACCCCGGTGGAGAAGTTTGTGAATGCATTCAACGCGTGGATAGGCCGGGTCTTGGATTCGAATATGGATATGCAGATAATACTCGATCACTACGCGTGCGCTTCCTACGTGGTGGACTATGTCAATAAGTCCGACCACGAAATGTCCAACCTCAAACGCACTGTTGCCGAGATCCTCAAAACGAATCCCAACGACGACATCGAAGCCGTGATCCTCAAGCTTCGTGTGGACACCCTTAAAGGAATTGAAATGTCGGCACAGGAGGCGGCCTGGTTCCTGCTCAAACAGGACATGTCGCACACGAGCCGGGAGGTGGTGTACGTCCCCACGTGCTACCCCGAAGAACGGGTGCGCGTACGCAAAACGCGTGCCGAGTTGGAGGCGCTCCCTCCGGGCTCCACCGACGTCTGGAAAAGCGAACCTCGTGCAAAAGTACGAGGCCAGGCCACCTACCCTCAACGACGTATGCCTCGCCGACTTCGCCAGCAAGTACCGGCTGGCGAAGGGTGATTGCCGTTACGTGCTCAGGGTACGGCCGGCTGTGATACGCTACCGCGGATACAACCCCGGTAACGATGTGGAGTCGTATATGCGGGAAAATGTCCTTCTATACGTCCCGTTCCGAAGCGAAACGGTTGATGTGTTGGATGGTAATAGGTATGTGTCCATCTACGAGAACAACAAGCAGTTGATCGAGGTAAAACGAAAAGAATACAACCCGGCGGATGACGATGCACTGGTCCAAGAAATGGTGGAGGTCCACTACGCCGAGAAGCTGTGGCTCAGGCGAGAGAGAGAGGAGGATGAAGAAAGAACAATGCATGAAGAAGAAGAATGTAATGAAGATGACGGGTGCGCGCGGGTACAAATCCCCGAACGATGAGATGCGGATGCTAGTGTGTACGCGGACGTGCTGCCTAACGAGCGCCTGCTCCCACTGCTCAAGGAGGTCAGTACGCCGTGTGCTGCGGTACGCAAACGGCGCGGAATCATGGAACGAGAAGAGTACGTCTCGATGATGCGCAGCACAAACCCCGAGCAGTACGAGTTGCTGCGCGAGATTCTGCACCGTCAGACCACGCCGGGGCAGCTTCCGCTGCAGGTCTTCTTCACGGGACCCGCGGGTTGTGGCAAGACCTTCGTGCTCAAGCTCACCATGGACGTGTATAACCGCTGTGCGGACTGCTTCGGTGCCGTTGGCTGGGAATACGGCTCCTCCTCATCCGTCCCTTCCGTCTACAACGCGTACGTGATCTGCGCCAGTACGGGAAAGGCCGCCGTTGCTGTGGGTGGAACCACCGTCCACAGTGCCTTCAAACTCGTGCGGGCTGCCCATGGAAACCGACAGGATGCCCGCCTCGGAGTCATGGGGGACGGTGGACTCCGACCTAGTGACCTGAACACCTTCCGGTGTGCCTTCCGCAGAGTCAAGTGCGTCATCATACACGAAGTCAGTGTGATGTCCGCCGACCAACTCAAACTGGTTGATTGCCGTCTGCGCCAGATCACGCAGCGACTCACCGAACCCTTCGGTGGACTGGACGTCATCCTCTGCGGGGACCTGCGGCAGTTGCCGCCCGTGCGTGCCAGCAAGATCTTCAAGCGGCCCCGCAGTGCTGATGGTCTCCTCGTATTCAGCACTGTCAAATGGCATCATCTCGAATACTTCCCGCTCGTGAGAGTCGTGCGCCAGTCCGACGTCACCTTCTCCGCGGTCCTCTCCAAGATTGGGGATGGCCGCGCGCTCGAGCCCGAAGAAGTAAAGCTTCTCGAATCCAGGTTCGTCACGGTCGAGGAAGCCGCCGAGCGCGCGCCCTCGGCCGTGCGCATCTTCTACTCGAACGCCGATGTCACGCGTTTCAACGAGACCATGGCCCGTTCGCAGGATGACTTCGTGGTGCTTCGCGCGCGTGATCGGTACCTCAGCTGCAAGACGCCGCATCTGCTCGAGAATGCCAAGTGCAGGGTTGCCCGCATGGTTCCCAGCGAGTTTGCAAATCTGCCCGGGGAAGTCATGGCCGTGGTTGGCAAGCCCTACATGATGACTCATAACATCGATCTCGTGGATGGTCTGGCCAAAGGTGCGGTTGGAGTCTTGCACCTGTGTGAGCTCGCCGGCCCGTTGCCCGATGATGGAGATGGAGTGGATGAAGAAGGAGAAGGAGACGGGGATGAATAGACGCGCGTGAGGCGACTGTGGTTCGAGTTCGATGTGTCCGGTACCGGAAAGCTCGCGCGTGCGCGCGCCGCTCGGGCCGTTCACGAGGCCCGTTCCAACGGCTACGACGTCACCAGCGAGAACTGGATACCCATCGAGATGCAGTCAGCCACCGTCACGGTAGATCGAAAGGCCGGCATAGCTTGTAAACGGACGCAGTTCCCCCTTGTCCAGGCCAGCGCCATCACCGTGCACAAATCTCAGGGGGGAACCTACGCCTCGGTCGTGTACGACTACTCCAAGACGCACCCGCAGAAGCTCGTCTACGTTGCGCTCTCTCGGTGTACCAACCTCAACGGACTATACCTCACCAACGCTGAGGGAGACCACACCTTCTACCACAAGCAAGACAACCCCGACAAACCCATGCTCGATGAGTTTCGGAGGCTCGAGAATCACCGTCTCGTCACCGTCACGCAGCGCTACCTCTCCGCTCTGAGGGACCAGCATTTCCGCAGGGTGTGCGAGGGTGGCTGTAGGGAGTTCACGCTCGCGCTCCTAAACGTCCGCTCTCTCTCGGCGCATGCACTGGACGTTGCCAAAGACCCCGTACTCTCCAGAGTTGATCTCCTCTGCCTCACGGAGACCTGGAACCGCTCCTCCGGCGACTGCGCTGCCGATGTCTCCCTGAGTGGCTACGATCGCGTGACCCGGGCCCTCGCCGAGAGAAGGGCTGGTGGAGTGGACGTCTTCGTAAAGCGCTACCGGCCCTTTAGTGAAGAGCTCAGGCGACAGCAGGACTGGATCCAACTCCTGGTCTTACAGCGTGCCGACCTCGCTCCTGATGCATCGCCGCGAACGTGTCCCACTGACGACCCGTGCTCCTTCGCCCGGAGTGGAAGCCGGGGCGAGTACTGCGGCGTGTGCTTGGTTGGACACGTCTACGCCAACGTCCTCTCGCATGCCGTGTGTACTTCGCCGCTCAGATACGACTCGCCGTACGCCTCTGTCTACACCAGTGCCTACTCCGGCGATGCCATCCTGGTTGTGACCGTCTACCTGGCCCCGAACCTCTCGAGATATGACGTCTTGGAGCAGATGGATGCGGCGATGGAGAGTGAGTCTGTGCGCGCGCGTCCCTCGGTTCCGATTGTGGTGGTGGGTGACTTTAACGTGGACGTTAGAAAGGACAATGGCTGGTTGGTTGACCACACGCTGAACAATTACTCGATGACGTGTCTGTCTCTCGAGTTTCCAACCACGATCAACGGTGGCTTCATAGACTTGGCGTTCAGTAGGAACTGTATGGTCCGCTCCGTCCTGCCGGATCCGCTTACCGTACATTTCTCGGATCACAAAGCGCTGGTACTAACCGTGAGCTACAACGATAACACGAATAGGTGCTAATCTGTAGTGTAGTTTGTGTGTGTGTGTGTGTGTGTGTGTGTGTGTGTGTGTGTGTGTGTGTGTGTGTGTGTGTGTGTGTGTGTGTGTGTGTGTGTGTGTGTGTGTGTGTGTGTGTGTGTGTGTGTGACGCGCTCGCGATGTGTGCATTTAATGCATCGTACGAAAATCATGAAGTGTAAATAAATAATACTTCGTGTATAATGTATCTGTGTACAAATGCTTTATGACAAACAACACTTAAATTCATTAATTACACTTTAATCATCATCATCAGTAATAAAACTCCCAAGCATTTCCCCGAGGGTGAACATGGTTAAGTGCGAATGCACGGGGTGATGCTATGAGGGGGAGTAAAGTTAAACTCCGTTGGCATTCGCCAGTGAGTTAACGTAAACTCCCCCGTGTGATCAAATTGCGATTCCCAGGAATCATTACACCATAAAGGCACCATAGTGTGATTAATAAATATAATAGTGCTAATTAATAAATACCCCTCATAGCATCACCCCGTGCATTCGCACTTAACCATGTTCACCCTCGGGGAAATCCTTGGGAGTTTTTATTAGCCAGTACAACATATGAAGCCCGGGACGATGTTACTGACTTAAACTTTATGCAGAACGTGATGGCGACGTACATAACTTGCATGGAGTGTCCATATTATGATTGCTATCGCAATAAAATGTACAAAACTAATGATGTTCGCGAGAAATGTAACTAAAGGACACAATTATGGCAGCACCCTCCGCAACGTGCCGTTTTTCAATGTTAACACGCAAAAAATGCGCGGTACTGTGATCTCGCACTGTCGATGTCACTTTTTGATGAATATCAATTCAAGGAGATGTCACGCAATAAGCTATATATAAGTATAGTAACGCTTAAGCTATACGGTCGGGGATCGCACTTTCCCGCAAGACGTAATGAGCTGCAGTGCGAGACAGGAATTAAATTGCCTTCACGTTCTTTTTCTTTTCTTAGTTAACCCAACAGCATCCATTCACTTTTGCATAAGATGTTGCGACTGTGTTTACTCGACAAAGTCTAAGAGGGACCTGATGTGGACCATATATCCATTGCTGTGTCCAAGGTGGTCTGGTGTCCTGTAGTTCTACACGCCGCACATGGCGTCGACAAAACACTTGTATAGTCCAGAGCACGACTATAAAATATGATCATGTCTACTTCCCTCCCTGGCGCCCGACAAAATATGCAGCTCGAAGCAGTTTTAGTGTATCATGTATCCCTCCCCCCCAGAACGCAGATAGAAGAAGTCACAGGCACAAAGGCAAACTCTTCGAAGTGGCACCTCCTCCTTTTGGCACGTGAGTCCACTCGGGAAGTCATGACTGCGAGGAGGCATGAGAGCTCTCATAGTGCACCAAAGGTTTTTTGAACATCCATACTTTCGAAGGATGAAAACAGCAGCAAACGTAAGGGGTGCATATATTCATTACATGACACCAGGTGGAATTTGCCCGTGGCATGAGCCGGAAGACTCGATTGGTGAATCTAACAAAATCGAACCACGCTCGAATAAATCTGCAGCACTACGGTGAAACTGCACTGCTACCCCCCCCCCCCCCGGAATGGTCACTGTGATGGAGTGCGCAAACAGCTTGCGCCGAGTCTGTGTAAAGATTCTTAGTTGTTTGCATTGTTCACACCTAGCTTCGTATCAACTTCCCCGAGATGGACGGGTATCTAATGATGACGGACATTACATGATATCATCATGATGTCAAGCGGATGAAGCCATGGTGACACCCCAAAATTTGAAGATGATGGTGCATGTCATGATGGCGGCACATGGTGATGTTCCAAAATCCTCTCTAGCAACCAGCGTGGTCTATCATTGGTCGCCTCCTCTCGCCCGCTCTGCACCGGTACATTCGCCGAGCTGCTAACGACGACGGCGAAAGGTTGACTAAGAGCTTCGCTGGCAAAAAGCGCAATGCATATCACTGGACTAGAACTCTGGAAAAGGTCTTCGAATCACCCCACGTGGAAAACTGAGAGAGCTCATTTCCTCATTTCGGTATGACCCCAATGCACTTTCCAACTGATAGAGCCAGTACGTCAAGAAGGCTTATAAACTTTTATGCTGGAGAGGTTGCTTCTCATACTGTGGCTATTTTATAAAAAATAATGTAGGTGGTAGTCGAGTCAAAACTGGTGCGAGGACATCACTAACGGAGCCGCGTTGGGCGCGCCATCACAGCAGGAGTGCTCAACTAGAAGATACAGATGAACAACAGTGGATCTGTTATGCAGCGCCTAGAGATCAGAAGGACACCCACCTGCACAGTCCGGCGAGGGTAATTTTGCATTTCTTCCTTTCAAAGTAACCCATACCGCGGTATTCTTATTGGCCCTTTGTTTGCAGCGGTACAGAGGTTCTGGATTGGTGGGGAAGCTGTAGCCATCCTCGCAGGAGACACTACAGTGCTGGTCATCCGCATCACACGTCACGTAACCATTCCTAGGAGCACGTAGGTATGGACACGGGTAGGCTGCACGAAAATAAGGCACACATTCATTCTAATATGCGCATCTTTTCGCAGATTCGCGTCAAAAAACGCAATTCTTCTGTACACTGCGAGCGCGCATATGTATACATGTGTGTGCAAAAAAAAGAGAAGAAGAAATGGAAAGCGTTTTACTTGATCGCGGAATGTTCGAATCAGCAAAGCTGGACGATTCTGAAGACTAAGTGTGAAGTCTAGTGTGGTTGTCTCAATGTCGTTGCCAAAGCTTTAGCTAGGTGATGCTAAGTTGTTTCTAAGTCGCTTTTGAGCGCGAAAGAGGTGTGGGTTAAACAAGTCACAAACATGACATGGATGTCCAAACTTTAGACAGAAGCTCGCGCTGAAACCGAGCATTCGCACGTCTCATAGATCAGCGAGCACGTCGTCGTTTGCGCATGCGTGCTTCCATCACTTCGGGATCTTTTGTCAGCCGCCTTTGCTTTTCCCTTTTCCTATTCTACATCGTTCGTACCACTGAAGCACTCCGTACTCATGAATCAGCGAAGCTTGAAAGTGCGACCATCAGGTTTACCATATTGTTAACACCAACGGTTTATTAAAGCTTTTCTCATTTACGGCTAACATCTGCCTCTATATACCACCCATCCGTATGGTATGAGTAACTTTATTAAGGTTCTGAGGATCAATGCAAGACTTATGCTGCCTGCTCCCACGCCGGGACAGAAAGTTCAAGCCCCTCAGCCGCCACACGGGCCCTCTGGAGTTGGTCCGCGAGCACGTCACTGTGCAGCATTCGCTGCCACCTCTGTTCGCCGTAACAAGCACCACTGGCCAACGCCGAGCAGCGCTTGATGACCATTGAAGGGAAATGGACGAAGATTAAAGGTAAATAGCCGACCGACCCATTAACGGGACACCCTTCCTTTACGCACGCCGCACGCCGACCGACCCATTACGGGGAAACCCTTTCTTTACGCACGCCGTCACGGACCCTCCCGGCACCGCGGCGACAATCTTGGGTGGCCCGACACACGTCGAGAACTGAACAGCACGTGATATGAACCGTATGTGGACGTACACGGACAGTTGGTTTCGTTCTCAGTGTTGACAGTGGTTCTTCCTCTTTTTTACTTTCTTTCTTTTCTTTCTTTTTCTTTTTCGTCTTTTTTCTCCCCCTTTTTTGTTTTTTTTCCTTTTATTAGTTCCCTCTCACTCTCGCAAACATCTTTCAAGGCGAGAGGGACGCGGCAGCAACGAAGTTTGGAAGTTGATGTCAGTATAACTCATCCCCTGATGAAGGGAGGACCCCTCCCGAAACTGTTTGGAAATATATATATTTATCCTTGTTGACAACGCTCCCGTTGCGCCATATCCCATACCTTCATGAAGACTAACTGGCCCATTGAATTATTACTCCCACTATATATATATATATATATATATATATATATATATATATATATATATATATATATATTGTAGTGGGGAATTCGCAAGGCACTGCCTAGTGGGACCATATCTCTCTGAGTACGAAGCGCGAGTGGGTGCACGAGCTATAGACGCTGGACTGCTCGAGCATTTCTGTCCGTACCGGCTGCCTATCTACTACCTAGCGTCGCTATTAAACTCCCTTGCAAAGTGGTGGAAGTGTGCTGTGTACGCAAACCTGAAACTTCGAAGCCGGAAGCTGCCCACTGCATCAGCAATGCCTGATCAGACGACCCAGCAAGGTACCACTCTGCAAAGCACGGCCCAATCTCAACTGGTCATCATACCTACCACCCTGCGCCAACGGGATCCCCCCTTCTTCAGCGGCACTGAGGACCAAGATGTGGAAGACTGGTTGCAGCTGTTTGAAAAGGTGAGCGCCGCCAACAAGTGGGACGACCCCTCGAAATTAGAGTACGTCCAATTTTATCTCAAAGACGTCGCCAGCCTGTGGTTCACAAACCACCGTACTGAATTTACCACTTGGGCAGCTTCCAAGACCACCCTTGCAGCTGTGTTTGATCGCCCCGCAGTGCGCAAGCTGCGTGCTGAATAGCGCCTACGCGAACGAGCACAAAGGCAGGGCGGAAACTTCACTAGCTACATTGAAGATGTCATCGATTTATGCTGGCGCTTTAACCCTGAGATGACTGAACAATACAAGATCCGGCATATCTTGAAAGGAATAGACGATGACGCCTTTCAAATGTTGCTGGCAAAGGGCCCAAGTACCGTATCCGAACTTGTTACCTTGCGCCAGAGCTTGGAACAGATTCGCAAGCAACGTGCATCAGTTCGGAGGTCGACGACAGCAGACGACTCTCTCGCTGCCCTGGCTGTCGGTGATGACTGCACCCTGCTAGAGCAGATAAAAGAATATGTACGCGAAAAGGTCGCACGACAGCTTTCGTGTCTCTCGTATCTGCCGACCACCGAAGCACCAACGAACCGCCTAACGCCGACAATCAGACAGGCTATTCAGGAGCAGGTCTCCGCGGCGTTGCCATTATCTACGCCTGCCTCTCCGCCAACACCTGTTGCCGCGCCACTGACTTATGCGGCCGTCGCTGCAATGCCTCCGCCTCGTCTGCCATTGTATACGCCACAACCTGTGCGACCTTCTACCACGCCGTTTCCAGCTACACAGCAGCACGCCGGAAATCCTTGGCGCACTGCTGACAACCGGCCGATATGTTACTTTTGCGGGGTTCCAGGTCACGTTGCACGTCTATGTCGTCGGCGATTCGCAGTTAATGCACCAAGATACCCCGACTACTCGTTTCGGCCTCCATACCACGCGCCTCACGTGCCACCTGAAGTTCACGAACGCGATGCGCAAGCTGCTTCCGGTACCCGAACCTACGCTTCTCGATGTTCTACTTCCCGCTCGCCTTCCCCTTCAACAAGTCGTCGTTCTGTGTCGCCTATGCACCGACGACCCACCTCCATTGAGACGGAAAACTAACTGCAACAGCTCCGGAGGCACGAGCTGCGTCATCGCCTAATCGTTTAAGTCCTCGCCTGTCTCCCGCCAATCTTAGCGATGTAATCGTCGAAGGTGTACGAACACTTGCACTCATCGATACCGGTGCCGCGATATCTGTGATTAGCCAAAGACTCTGCCACTCTCTTCGTAAAGTGAAGATGCTTTCTCCCGTAGTTTCTCTTAGCACTGCGAGCGCCCAACAAATTGAGCCCATCGCGGCATGTACGGCAAAAGTGGTCATTCGAGACGTGTTGTACATCATTGAATTTCACGTGTTGGCTTCACGTTCCCACGATGTTATCCTAGGATGGGATTTCTTATCACGTCATCACGCCGTCGTGGACTGCGCTCGGGCCGAAGTGGAGCTGTTACCGTTTCGTGATGCGCCTTCTGTTGATGCGGCCGTATCTAGTGTGGCTAACCTTGTCGTCGCGACGGACATAGACATTCCTCCTTTCAGCGCCCAGTTTGTCCCTGCCTGCTGCACTTCACTTTCTGACGCTACCATCCTATTCGCACCATCTGACATCTTCGGTAGCCGCCACCACACATCGCTGCCATTCGCCGTTTTTGCGCTTTGTCAAGACACTACCGGAATATTTATTTCCAATCCGAACTCGTGCCCCCTCAGTTTGCACCGCAACGAGACGCTCGGCCACATTCAGCTTATCGATGAAGCTACTATCGTGTCTGCCGATTTCTTCGACACCAAGCCGAATATGGAGCTGAACGCGTTGGTTCCACACTTTGCCTTGAACAGCGTGTCGTCCGATGCATTTCACAGTTCTATTGACAGCCATCTCGCCCCGGCTCAACGAGAGCAGCTTTTTACCCTTTTACACGAATTCATGCGTTCCTTTGACTTTCTCCAAGTGGTGCTAGGAAGAACGAACACCGTTGTGCACACGATTGACACAGGGAAGAGTACTTCTTTGCGCCAGCGCCCCTATCGTGTGTCCCCGGCGGAGCGTCGCGTAATCGCAGAACAAGTAGACGACATGCTACAGCGTGGAGTCATCAAGCTTTCTTGTAGTCCTTGGTCTTCACCAGTTGTACTCGTCAAAAAAAAAGGATGGTTCGATCCGGTTCTGCGTAGACTACAGGCGCCTAAACAACATTACGAGGAAAGATGTTTACCCCCTTCCCCGCATAGACGACGCTCTCGATTGTCTCCAAGGTGCACAATTCTTTTCCTCACTTGACCTTCGCTCAGGTTATTGGCAGGTCCCGATGGCTGAGTCTGATCGTCCAAAAACGACGTTCGTCACACCGGATGGTCGCTATGAATTTACCGTAATGCCATTCGGACTCTGCAATGCACCCGCCACATTCGAGCGAATGATGGCCAGCATTTTACGCGGCCTCAAATGGAACATATGCTTGTGCTATCTTGATGACGTTGTGGTCTTTTAACCCGATTTCACTTCGCATCTCACTCATCTGCGTAAAATTCTACAGTGCCTTACAAACGCCAGGCTTCAGCTTAACCTGAAGAAATGTCACTTCGGGGCTAAACAACTCACCATACTTGGTCATGTCGTCTCGAAAGCCGGCATCCTTCCCGATCCTGACAAGCTTCGTGCTGTTGCGAAATTTCCTAAGCCGACTACAGTTAAAGAATTACGGAGCTTTGTGGGCCTGTGCTCTTATTTTCGTCGGTTTGTCCGGAACTTTGCTTCCATCATCGCTCCGCTCACCAAACTCCTTGCTGGACCTGCAGATCTTTCGAATTGGACTGCAGCCTGTGACGAATCCTTCGCAACACTGTGCCAACTCCTTACCTCACTACCCGTACTGCGTAATTACGACCCTACTGCACCGACCGAAGTACACACGGATGCAAGTGGCGTCGGCCTTGGTGCAGTGCTCGCGCAACGCAAACCAGGTTTTACGGAGTATGTGGTCGCCTATGCCAGCCGCGCCCTCACTAAGGCAGAAGCCAACTATTCTCTTACGGAAAAAGAGTGCCTGGCGATTGTGTGGGCGTTAAACAAGTTTCGCCCCTATTTATACGGCCAAACGTTTGATGTGGTAACTGACCATCACGCAC